AAAGTCGAGAAGATCTACTTCACTGCATGAGGTTTTATCATATATGGCTCAGCCGCTCGCTGCAGAATGGCGAGCTGCCTGCAAAGAGCATCGCACAAAGCACAGACTCTGGAGCTCCAGGATCTCCATGCAAATTGTACTCATGAACTGAATGTCACAGTAATGAAATGAAGCCAAGACCTTCAGAGCGTTAAGCGAACTGCTTGACCATGTTGCCATAAAGATATGCAAAGTTCTAACAAAGCAGCAGGAAATGGGAAGCAACTGACACATGACAAACATTGTGTGGTAATCTGATGTGAGGTATACATGACAAACATTGTGTGGTAATCTGATGTGAGGTATACATGACAAACATTGTGTGGTAATCTGATGTGGGGTATACATGACACAGACGACTAATGTTTCAGACTGGCATTACAGATTAGTTCTTGTGGTAACACAATCTGTGCAAACAGCACGCTTTATGTTTAACATCTAGTTTTGTCATAATAAATTATAGATGTGAAAGTAATAACATTTTTATGATTTACTTTGTACTTTCATTTAAACAGTCATTTTTCTGTATAAGATATACTTTTTGCATTGTCCATATATTCATATCTGTACATAAACTGCCTTACGCTTTGTAAATGTTTTCAACTTTAAAAAGCTGCTTGCAGTACCAGTGCAGTTAGTCTGTTTAATTTCCTATAACGTACTTTGCTTATATGTGTATCAACTCTAGAGATGCTGTGATAAAACTGACTGGCTGTTGTAGAAGAGAGGAGAGTGGCAATTTGAAGAAATTATTTTACAATGAGAATATAAATTAACTTTCCTAATAAACAGATTGCTTATATTTGCACAGAGGAGCTGCTCATTTTGTTGTTGCAAGTAACAGGGATGTAAATATCAAGAAAATAATATATAAAAATAAAGGTCTAAAGCCAGTCAGGTGGTATTTTGTAGACAAGTCCCTCATGAAAACATTTCAAAGATTCTTAACTGAAGTTCCAGACTCTCATACACTTGACTTAACTTTCTGTCTCTGCATGTGCTTGACCAGAAAAAAACACCAGTTGGTAAGAGTGTTAGCAAAATTATATCTGGATCAAGATGTCATTATAAAAACAGGCACAATTGGTTAAGTGTGATAAAACTACAGGTATGGAACTATTCAATAATTTACAAAATGTAAGACATGTCTGTACCCTGTTATTTTGATTTGACCAGCAGGGAAGCAGATATGCCTATTTGATGTCAAACATAAGTATATTTTCATACTTGTGTGAGTTTTATCTTTATATACAAAATTGCAATGTAAATAGCCACCAAAATACTGGTAGTGTGAGACGTACAAGAAAAACATGTCCCCATATTTGTAGAATTAATCAGCATCTGTTTGCATTTCGCTTCATTCACCTACGCATTATTTGTACTTTTTAAACATCTTTAAAATAATCTTATCAATGAGGTAGATGTCTACATTTCAGTGGTCTTTTTCATTTGCTCATGATGTACTTAATGTGAAGCTACTGTTTTGTTGTGATAGCACTAACAGTCAGTAATAAAATCTGTACAAAATATTTTTTTTATCAGTTTGTGATATTGCGAGTGTGATGCAAGATTCAGGAATGTAATGTTGGGAATGTGTTTGTATTGATGGCTCAACCTTGTGCCATTTTCAACAGATTTACTGATGCTATAGTCTGGTGTATTGTCCAGCCCCAGGTGGGTGTAGGCCCCACGTGGGTGTAGAAGGTTCTTTGGGATAAAATTCAATTTCTCTCATCAGCTCAATCACCGACCCCTAACAGTTGAGCAGGAGGTTATCAAAGCAGTTCAAGAACAGACACTACATGTTTCATTTCAACAGAGAAAGTTGCTCTTTCCTCCAACAGCTCGATCAACAACCCTTAACAATTGAGCTGGAGGTTATCAAAGCAGTTCAAGAACAGACACTACATGTTTCATTTCAACAGAGAAAGTTGCTCTTTCTTCCAACAGCTCGATCAACAACCCTTAACAGTTGAGCTGGAGGTTATCAAAGAAGATTAAGAACAGACACTATATGTTTGATTTCAACAGAGAAAGTTGCTCTTTCCCAGCAGTCTCATCTCATGGTGTGCGTAGTTTCAGCATTGGCTGTTCAGAAACTAAAACTGTTCCATGAAAAATTAGGGACATTAAACTGTTCCAGAAAGGAGTTGTTCGATAACTGAGGTTCCATTGTACATACAACATCAGGAATGGAAAGAATTTTAGATAAATGTAAGATCTGATGGGTACCTTTACAATGGTATGTTTATCACTGGTCCACTGTTAACTTCATATCCTTTATAGAACCAACCCCAGCATTTTTTGGCTGTTGTAGTTTTTCAAGGCAAATTTTATGTTCAGTCCACTGTATGCAATGCTAATGCAATCACATGACTGTAATACCCAGTCAACTGTAGATATAATTCATCAGTTAGCAGGAAAACATGTGCCAAAAAGGCGAATGTGCCAAAAAGGCGACTGATGGTACCTCTGACCAGATGATGATGTTGGGCTCTACACTTTGTGACTGGCCAGCCTGTACACATCCAGCGATGTTGAGTCGCCGTGTGGTCAGGGAAGCCATACTTTATAAACTGAAATTTTAACGGAACTGATGTGAGAAGTGTGACTCCATTATTGGCATTCAATAGCACGGTCAGTGATTTTTATATTCACAGACCTACAAGTAAACATTGTGAACTTATCACAAGTTACTCACAAAAATGTTGTTGTAACTATTGTTGCTTTTCCTGTGTTCATGTTTACCAGTTGAGTAAAGTTCAGGTCCACACATGCAATTGGTGATCAGGTTATCATTTTGGGCTTCTCCCCCTTGTCCCAAGCAGCAAGATCCATTTTGAACAGGACATCTGCCACATACACCGGAACTTAAGATACGCTTAGAGCATGACTAATATCGTGGAGCATGACTAACATATACGCGTTAGAGATCATATGTGCATGAACTCTTTTTGTACAAGCCAATCTGCTAACGGCATGCTGCATACTAATGTGTTAGCAGTAGTAACTTGCAAACCTCTATTTTTCGGTATGTAATATTTTCTACACCGAGTGGATTCTGACAGTGAAAACTACTTTTCTAAATTCCACTTTGAAATTAGTTCTGAACATATTTTTCTAACGGTAACAGCAATAAAACTACTGTGTACACATTGTGTTAACTCTGACTTTTAGACTATAAATTTCTTCTTCTTAGCATTCCTTGGCTGTAAACTCTGGCAGAAAGTTCTGGTTGTTCGTCTACTTCTGGACTTTGGTCTTGTTCTAGAAATTTCTTTGAGTGCACATTTGTTTTACAGATCTGGCTTGTTTGTATGCAGACTGCTGGTTCCTCGCCTCTCAGGTGCCTGTCTGACTTCAAAGGAAACACACTTATTCAGTCACTACTGATGACACACCTATATGCCTATGAGTGGACAATTGGTCAACCCCCCCCCCCCCCCCCCCCCCCCCATGGGGCCCCAGAATCCACACTAGGAAAAAATGTATACAATTAGCAAAACGACACCTACAATTATAAACACACTTATGGTAAAACAGAAAGACAAAACAGATTTTGCCAAGGCACACATTTTAGTCAGTGTCTCAATACAATAACCCACACTTTAAATTCTTATAGAAAACATTGCTGTCAAAACACGACCATGAACATTACAAAACAAACTTAAATGCATGTTTCATCTGCAAAGAAAAAATATAAAAATACTGGATGTATGCAGGCATAACAATACTTTACATCAACAATGAAGAAACCAAGTCTCCACCAACATTTAAACAACAACAAAAAACTGCATTTCAATTGATTACTGGCAGCAGTATTTGGTATCCCAGCAGCCAGCATTCTCCCATGGAAACAATGCTAGACTGATTAATAAGCAGTTAGTAAGAATTATGCCAGCATTCTCCCATGGAAACAATGCTAGACTGATTGATAAGCAGTTAGTAAGAATTATGCCAGCATTCTCCCATGGAAACAATGCTAGACTGATTGATAAGCAGTTAGTAAGAATTATGCCAGCATTCTCCCATGGAAACAATGCTAGACTGATTGATAAGCAGTTAGTAAGAATTATGCCAGCATTCTCCCATGGAAACAATGCTAGACTGATTGATTAGCAGTTAGTAAGAATTATGCCAGCATTCTCTCATGGAAACAATGCTAGACTGATTGATAAGCAGTTAGTAAGAATTATGCCAGCATTCTCCCATGGAAACAATGCTAGACTGATTGATAAGCAGTTAGTAAGAATTATGCCAGCATTCTCCCATGGAAACAATGCTAGACTGATTGATTAGCAGTTAGTAAGAATTATGCCAGCATTCTCCCATGGAAACAATGCTAGACTGATTGATTAGCAGTTAGTAAGAATTATGCCAGCATTCTCCCATGGAAACAATGCTAGACTGATTGATTAGCAGTTAGTAAGAATTATGAGCAGCAGTGTGCAAATCATATTTATATATCATTTATCATATTTATAAGACAGTGTTTCCCAAACCTGTCTTGGTCGCGGCCCATTTTTCCAATTACAAATTTTTCATGGCGCCCTAGTCTAAGTAAAATTATGACTATTCATGTCTTGGTTAAATTAATTATGAAGCTTTTACAATATTTTGTGGCGCCCCTGTGAAGAGGTCCCTGCTCCCCGGCGCACAGTTTGGGAATCACTGATATAAGATACATGTTCATTTTTGTAGTGTTTTGTTATCTTTCTTTAGTCTTGTGGTCCAGTCAACTGTCACCTTCATGTTGATAGTTAACTATACATTCATAGCCCAGTAGGTTCATTTCAGTCCATCCTTCAATGTTATCAAATTCAAACTTGTGTTTCTCTAGCACTCAAATCATCAACAAATAAACCAGATATGATTTACATTACACTGATCTGCTAATGTTTAGGAATTCTCATTTTCATTCACAATATCAGATAAGCATTAAGCTACCTGCGACATCTGTTTTAATTTGCGTTATTTGTGCACCACTTATAGGCATTCTTAAACATTGTCATCCATGGCGAACATTTAAGCTGACTTCTGAACTCGGTGGGCATCCACGGACACTGCCAAGCCCAAATACAGCGTTCTGGGTGAGGCATGACGGCAAGATGTCTGCCGTCTGGTGAACAAACACCAGCGATGCCAGCAGGGGATCCGTTAGGGTTGAATGGGTAGACCTCAGTCGCTGAACCATTATCATCCACATAGCGTATCGGAACAAGCTTGCTGGACTCAATCTCACTTTGAATCTCAGGTTTCTTGAAAACCAGGCGACCTGAAAATATAGAATTATATGCTAAAATTATCCAAATATGACAATACAAAACTGTTACGTATGTCATATACGACAAAATTTTATGTTAATATGTACACATCCTCATATTACAAGGGAATGAAAACAATCAAATGCAAAGGTTCTAGGTAAACTAAGAAAAAAAAGAGTTACTGAAAGAAAATGTGAGACAACTGTAATATTTCACCACATTCAAAGACATAACACTCTTTAAAAGACCATATTGGAGGGAAAAGTCAAACAACAGGGGAAGACAATGATTCAAGAGACACGAGCCTGAGAGAATGAACAATCAAGACAATGAACAAAGTGTGTTGGAGATCCATTGAAGTCAACCCTCACTGTGGAGAGGGCACCTCTTATATATATATTACTTTGCTTCTTTTCGTTCATGTGGCGCAAATGCGTTGTGCCTGTTTACAGCAGAGCTGCCATATTTCGGCTGACACATCCGAGCATTTTTACAAGCTAATTTGCCAGATAGTTTTGTGGTACAGGGACAGGGCGTGGCCTTATTTGTGTGGTGTTTTTCTTTGTCCCCTTATCTACAGGTGTTGCCCCTGGAGACCCCATCCACAGCAACGGTGTGTAGACAGGTCAGCCCTCAAGGAAAGGCAAGACATGGGCATTCCCCGCCATCCCAGCTGTACCCCCCCCCCCCCCCCCAGGGAGATCAGATCACAGGTCCGGTACTTCGATAGCCATACAGAATAGTGCATTTTATTTGCTTTGGCACATCTGACACCTTTAACGTTTTATCTGGAAACTTAGCAAGACAATACAACAGAGAGTGCATCTGGCATGGCTCCTTCTTATAGGTCTCCCTCTCTGGCCAGTGGGCTAATAGTAATGGGCATGTGTACCTTTCTGCCAATTAGGCCTTTTTTTTCTTCTTTTTTTTTTTCACAATCTGCATTAAAAAAAAAATCAAGTGTGCACATACCTTCTCCATGAGAAACCCACATTCCCCAGGTAGTGCCCTCCATGCCTTGCAGCATAATGGCAGGAGAGGCTTCCACCTGGATTGTTGTGAACCTGGATTCAAATCTCCCAGAGATATTATGATCCAGCAGTAAGCCCTGAGAATCACCATCTTCTGTAACCACATACAAGATAACAAGTGAGTCACACAAAATCATATCATTGTTTGTTTTTTAAACAGCACATTTATGAGACAAATGAAAACCTCAGAAAATACAATCTATATTATCAAACTCTTATACAACAGACAGTTCAATGTGGACCTCATGAACAATAGTCTATAAAAAGGTAAAGATCCATTTTCACGCCTTAGGCGCATCGGGTATATGGGAAGAACGTCCCATATTTTACAGACCAATCGGTACTGGATGGGTAATGTGGTCAGCATTATGCCGGCCATCTTTACTTCCCCAGGACAGCCATCCTGGTAACCATTTAAGGCTTGGTCGACCTGCGACGCCCCATACCAAGATACAAATCCACGCATAAATAGTCTATGAAAAATGTATATAATTTTCATAATCGATTGTGATCAAAGGTGCTGGTTTTAGGTATATGTCGGAATCCCACCTCTATTTTTTACACATTCGCAAATTGTAAGCAACTGGAATACATAGATATCAGGTGAATGAAACTGAGGAAATACCTTGGCATAATCTTCAACGGATGCTTGTCATGTAAGCCTCACGTAAACAGTGTCATTATTAAAGCCCAGAAAGGTCTGACAGCACGCAAGGTGGTGCCCAGAAATGTCTGACAGCACTCAAGGTGGTGCCCAGAAAGGTCTGACAGCACTCAAGGTGGTGGTAGCAGTCAATACTGAACAATGTCTACTTTTCTTTCTCTATCAGGGACTTGCATTAAGTGTCATAGACTATCATCTGGCCTCCTCAATGTCAGCAGAACACAGACAGAAAGACTGTGCTGGGTACAAAATGAGGCCAAGAGACTCATACTCGGCTGCATAAGATACCTCTTACCACACCATGCGATATGGCCTGGACTGAAAGACTATGGCCACCAGTTACAAACTTGCACAGGTCAAAGTGTACATGAGGGTATCGGTAAACATTAATGACCTACTGCACAAAGCTCTGATAACATAAAAAGATAATTAATGACTGGCACCTTTCCATCTTTCCAAAAGATAGTGTTATATCGCGCTATGAGGAGGCATGGAACTCACAGCCCATGGCGATGGCGAGTGTAACTGGCAAGACTTGCCCACATTTAAAAAAGTCTTCCACAATGATAGCAAGGGTTTTCAGGACCACCGTTGTCAACATTTGTGTTTAGTTCATTTCTTCTTAAAGGCTCAGCTCTCATCCTTTCTTCCTTTCCCATTCCCTTCCTGATGTGTCCCTTCCACATAACAAGTCCATTGCTTTTTATTCCCACAAGTCCACCTCCTTACCTGTATCATTCGTGTCTTAATATCGTAGTAGAGGTTGGCCTCTACATCTTCTACCCGTCTTTAATTCACCATAAAGGATGTCCTTAGGGACTCTACCAACCTCCAGGTGTGACTCAGCCACCTGAGCCTTCACAGACTGAGCATTAAGAAGACTGTCATAACACCTGCTCTCTTCAATACCTCAGTTTTTGTGATACTTTCCGGCCACTTAATGCCAAGTATTCTTCTTAGGCATCGCATGTGAAAGCTTTTAGTCATTTCTCTTGGTGTGAATAAGTTGACCAAGTTTTACTGGCATAATGCAGACTGCTGAGAACACAGGCCTGATAGTTTTTTGTTTTAATCGTGAGCTTTCTGTTCTCCCAAATTCTTTTTGTTAATCTGCTCATTGTTGTTGCTGCTTACCTATCCTAATGTTGATTTATTGGTTTTTTATTCACCGTGGAACCCAGAAAGGTAAAATATACAACTGTCTCCAGCTCTTCACCGTCCATGTAGACTGTAGGTCTATCATTAACACCTTGCACCATGACTTTTGTCTTCTTTTTTGCTGACTATTAGTCCAAATTCACAGCAAGCATCAGCAAATGCAGACAGTAAACATTGCAGCTCCTCTGAGTGGGTGGTTATTGCGGCATCATCTGCAAACAGAAGCTCTTTGATAATTACCTTTTTTTTATCCTGGCTGGTTTTGGCCTTCAGCCTACGAGAACTGTAAAAGCTGCCGTCAGATCGAGAATGGGTGAAATTCCACATTTCTGATCTTGAAAGGCATGTTTCAGAAGAAGTGAGAAGTGTATTCCAAAGAGGGTAGGAGCAAGTACACATCCCTGCTTCACTCCATTGTTGATAACAAACTCCTTTGATGTTACACCAAAGTTGATTATACCTTTCATACCTGTGTGGAGCGACTCAATAATGCTTAGTAGGGTAGGTAGACCCTCAATATTCAGTGTGTTGAACAGATCTTTTCGACTAACCAAATCAAATACCTTGGTAAGATCAATAAAAGATACATACAGTGGTTGATTTAGTTCATGGCGTTTTTCCTTTAACTGTCGTAATGAAAATATCACATCAGTGGTAGACCGGTTCCCAAGAAAGCCACACTGTGACTCTGGGTAAACCCGGTCTCCTAGGATCTGGAGTCTTCCCACAATAATTCTTGCAAGTACTTTTCCAACAGTACACAGCAGTGATATTCCCATGTAGTTATTGACATAAAAGGAATACCTAATAAAAGGCTACTTCTGGATGGCTGAGGCTAAAAATTTATTCCAGCAGGTATGTGATCTAGAAGAGATCAGACATTGAAAAGAATGAATTGATATATGAGTAGACATGCACAACCTTTCTAACGCTGTCAACATACTTAGGAAGCCGAAGACACTGAGGTTGGGGCACCGACAGATCAACATTCATGCCTAGAAGACACACATGGAACTGTAAAGTGTGGATCACAGTCAGCATGGGTATACACAGCACAAATGACATGGAAAGCGAAAGAGGACAGCGGCGCCTATCTAAGTCGAACATCAGAATAGAGATAACCAGACAGCACTAGCAAGGCAACATAACAAGCAAGCCCACATGCAGTAAACATACTGGACTCCATGAATATGCTTCAGAAACTGCAACAGTTTCTGCCAGCCAGCGAGGAACTAGATGATGTAAGAGATAAAGAAGAGCATTGAACAGATTGGCCATGTGCAGTGTATTAGCCCGAAGTACATCTGACACCTGTTCTAATGAGAATGCCTAATTTCAAAATCTACTAGTCTTACCTGTATGATCAGGTGCTACCCATCCCAACAGGGCCATAAGTTGGCATCCATTGCACACCCCAAAACTGAATGTATCAGGTCGAGATCGGAAAGCTGCAAATTCCTTCTGGACCACTTTGTTAAACTTCACAGTCGCAGCCCAACCTGTATGTATAAGAAAGACCCTTAGCTTCTTCGGATAAAAAGTCCAGTATTTGTTAAACAATTTGTTAAAACTTTGATCAGTCAATGACACCAATGACTCTGTCAGATTTTGACTTAACCAAACAAGCAAGCCTTCTGACTTGAGTGCATTACTATTTGAAAATAATTAGTGGCTGCTTTGGAAAGAGTGAATCTTGATCAGCAGACGCAGAATGTTAGTAGAATACAGCAACAGTTAAATTGAAACTGCTGTTACAGTAAGTTGTTTTCTTATAATCTAACTACATTAAACTGTGGAAAGTCACTATGCTAGTTTCTAACTACATTAACTTGTAGTAAGTCCCTTTCCTACATATAATCTGACTACATTAAGTTGTAGTAAGCCATTTTCTTATAATCTAACTACATTAAATTGTAGTAAGTCACTTCACTATAATTTAACTACTTTGTAAAAGGTACAAACAATGCCATATACATCATAAGGACATTGTCAAAAAGAACTATAGAAGTAAAGACTGATTTGTACTTATGCTTCATAGACTATACAAAAGCATTTGACTGTGTGAAGCATGAAGAAGTAATCAAACTGTTAGAAAAATTAAACATTGATGGGAAAGATCTACGAATAGTGAAGAATGTGTATTGGCAGCAAACAGCAGCTATAAGTATTAACAATTGTTTAGGTACATTTCAAAGCATAAAGAGGGGCGTACGACAAGGATGTGTACTGTCACCTGATTTGTTTTCAATATACAGTGAATATATAATGAGATCTTTAAATGATATGCCCAGAATTATGGTTGGTGGGCACAATATAAACAATTTACGTTATGCTGATGACACAGTCTTGATAGCAACAAGTCAGAAAGAACTACAGGAAATGATAGACATTGTGGTGTTAGAAAGTGGAAGAATGGGCCTCAGTTTGAATAATGGGAAGACAGAAGTAATGGTGGTATCAAAGAAACGAATTATTCCTAAATGTGTAATAAAAGTCGATGGTGTTATTTTAGGACAAGTACAGAAATTTAGGTATCTGGACACATGGATAACATCAGATGGAAGATGCATAAATGAGATAAGAAACAGAATAGGACAGGCAAAAACTGCATTTTATAAAAATGAAAAACATCTTGTGCAATATATCCTTGTCAGTGAGAGTTAGAAAAAGAACTATTTGCTTGCTACATACATCAAGTTTTAACATATGGCTGTGAGTCCTGGACAATTGGTAGGCAGGCAAAACAATTTCTTAAGGCCTCAGAGATTTGGTTTTACAGAAGAATGCTTAGAATACCTTGGACAGCCAAAAAGAGCAACCAAGAGGTTTTGAAAGAGGTGGGAGCCCGAAGACAACTTATCACAGACATCAGAAGGAGACAAGTCATCGTTTTCTTATGAGAAGAGGGAAAATAGAACATATTGTGACCACTGGAAAGATCTGTGGAAGGAGGGATTGAGGACGACAAGAGAGAAGATTCTTGACAGTCTTGTTGCATGGCATGGAGGTGTGTCAGCACACGAACTGATACATGCTGCAGGAGATAGCAGATTATGGAGAGGTATGATCGCCCACGCCAGTCGGCAAGGCACCCGATGATGATGATGATGAAATTGTAGAAAGTCACTATGTTAGTAACTAACTACATTAAGTTGTAGTAAGCCATTTTGCTTTATATAATCTGACTACATTAAGTTGTAGTAAGCCATTTTGCTTTATATAATCTGACTACATTAAGTTGCGTTAAGTCACTTTGCTACATATAATCTGACTACATTAAGTTGTAGTGAGCCATTTTGCTACATATAATCTGACTACATTAAGTTGTAGTAAGCCATTTTGCTTTATATAATCTGACTACATTAAGTTGCGTTAAGTCACTTTGCTACATATAATCTGACTACATTAAGTTGAAGTAAGTCACTTTGCTATACATAATCTAACTACATTAACTTTGTCATCCTAAGAGAGATATTCTGACTTTTATAGGTTTCTGAGGTCATGACATCTTTAGGCAGTGACCTCTATGCCTAAATAACAGCTTTAGTACTGGGTAAAACAAAAATGTTTGCTACATGATCCACACACACACACAAAAAACAATTTTCTATTGTCAAAGGGAAGGAAAGCAGTGAATTTTTGCCCTGCTAACATTTAGCAATGACCTCCCTTCAAAGAACAAATGTTTGTTCAATATATTGTCTACAATAAAATATTTTTTTTTAACCACCTGATAGTCGCGATAAATGTGGAATCCACGCTTGCCTGCTTGGTGGTCTCGGAATTTGACTGGATTTTTAATTTAAAAAAAAAAAACTGACCTTATTCTTCATGTTCACTGGCTCTACACTCCAGCAGGTAGGTTCTGGTTGTTCGTCTCCCTCTGGATTTGAGTCTTGCTCCAGAACCTGAGTGTTGCGTGCACATTAGTTTTATAGATCTGACTACCTGTATGCAGACTGTTGGTTCCTTGCCTCTCAGGCAGATGAATTCCCAGTCAGTTGACTCTTGACCTGCTTGTTAGGGAAGCAGTGGGTCTATTTTTTTTTACCCCACAATGGGGTCCCCGAACCCACCCGGGGTACAAAAACTGACCAAGACTCAACACTTCTTCTAGTGTTTCTTCTCTTACTATAGCTTCTTAGGACTGAGTTTCAAAAACAAAAACCACTGACACTAAAGCATAGCAACTTTAGAAAATCAAAACCATTGAATTAAAATGCAGAAACAACCAAATAAAAACAATATATGAAAATAAATTAAATAAAACAAAATGAAATAATCATAACTAAAATGTAGAATTTTAAAATTAAAATAAAGGCAGGAAAAACATGACCAATCTCACCTTTTGCTGACCCTAAAACATCAGCATAACTGAATCCACCAACAAAAGCAACGCCTCTAAATGCTGACAGAGATATTCTTTCTGTAGCAAGATCTTCCATATTGACATCCCAGGTCTGGAATCCAGCCAATGAGAATGCAGCAGCCATCTCTCTGTCCCCATTGCTACCCTCTTCTCTGATTATGGCAACTTTCAGAGGTTCAGCTGTAGAAAAAATGGAGGAAAAACCATTTGAGCATGCCTGCAAACACAAAACAGTTTGGAGAAAACAACAGGTGAAATGGTTTGGCCATGTTACTCGGATGCCTACAAAGATTATACCACAGCAAGCAATGATGTACAGACCAGGAGGGAAGCACCGAAGAGGCTGACCATGCAAACTATGGACAGAGGGAATTAGAGAGTCCCTGGGAATCCCCATTTACAAAGTGAACAAACTGGAATGTCCCTGGGAATCCCCATTTACAAAGTGAACAAACTGGAAAGTCCCTGGCAATCCTCATTTACAAAGTGAACAAACTGGAAAGTCCCTGGGAATCCCCATTTACAAAGTGAACAAACTTGAAAGTCCCTGGGAGTCCCCATTTATAAAGTCAACAAACTGGAAAGTCCCTGAGAGTCCCCATTTATAAAGTCAACAAACTAGAAAGTTTCTGGGAGTCCCCATTTATAAAGTCAACAAACTGGAAAAGTCCCCATTTATAAAGTGAACAAACTGGAAAGTCCCTGGGAATCCCCATTTGCAAAATGAACAAACTTGCACTTTCTGATAAATTATACCTCACTCAACACCACAATGCATAAGAGGATTAAGATGACATAAGATGATGATGAAAGAATTAAATGTGAACACCTGCCCTTCTCCTCACTAAAAAGACAAAACATTAACATGACCTGTCATGAAATATAACAAAGAAACTACCTAAAGGCAACGGCACCGAGATTTGTGCATCAGTATCAAAACTGAGTGTATATGGAGGAATCTTTCTTTCCTTCATGCCCATCTGCTCCTCCACTATACAGTGTCGATTTGTCTGTCTTCGTTCCAAAACAAAACTGGTTTCCTCCCATATGTCTCGAAGTTCAGACATAGGACAGTCCAGCAAGACACTGCCATTAACAGCAATAGAGATCTGTGAAATATATAGAATGTGGAACCGTTATTTATAGAACCACCATTTTAAAATATACATATTACTGGATGTTAAATGTAAGCATTCCTGCAAAGAGAAACATGCAACAGGAGGTTGGCTGAAGAAAACTCATTCATTGGTTTAACAAATTTACTTAAAGTATTTCAGGATCCTCGCCGGTGCTACAGAGCCTGTGCACTGTGCTTAGCTTCTTCGGACTCAGACTTGAGTTAGAAGAACAGAGCACTTATAGGTTATTACCCGTGTACCATGATGTTGATCCATTGTTCAAACTTGGAGCTCATTACTATGCCCTGTACAAGATACAAGCACACACACACACACACTAAATTAGGTACCCATGTTATCAACACGATCATTATCTTGTGAAGGTTGGCTGAATGGGTATGGTTCATCATAATTTTGTTGTTGTCCACACTAGTTGGCTGTCTCCAGATCTTGCCTTGATGTTGTCAGTGTTATATCTGTGATGGCCTCATGCTCTTTTGTCCCTGACCATATATTCTTTGTCAACAAGGACTTCACCTTCACTTTTGGCATTTGGCATTCACTCAGCAGAACTGGGGGAAAAGGTACTTTATTTCCTGGTGGGGGGGGGGGGGATATTGTCGCCTTACTCATACCTGTAAAAACTGTTGCCTTACATACAACTGTAACAACCGCTGCCTTACACAAAGCTGTAACAACCGCTACACACACAAAGCTGTAACAATTGCTGCCTTACTCAAAGCTGTAACAATTGCTGCCTTACACAAAGCTGTAACAACCGCTGCCTTACACAAAGCTGTAACAATTGCTGCCTTACACAAAGCTGTAACAATTGCTGCCTTACACAAAGCTGTAACAATTGCTGCCTTACACAAAGCTGTAACAATTGCTGCCTTACACAAAGCTGTAACAACCGCTGCCTTACACAAAGCTGTAACAACCGCTGCCTTACACAAAGCTGTAACAATTGCTGCCTTACACAAAGCTGTAACAATTGCTGCCTTACACAAAGCTGTAACAACCGCTGCCTTACACAAAGCTGTAACAATTGCTGCCTTACACAAAGCTGTAACAACCGCTGCCTTACACAAAGCTGTAACAACCGCTGCCTTACACAAAGCTGTAACAATTGCTGCCTTACACAAAGCTGTAACAATTGCTGCCTTACACAAAGCTGTAACAACCGCTGCCTTACACAAAGCTGTAACAATTGTAACACACCTGCTGATCATGACACCCAATATTATGTTCATTTGTTCTCAGGGGTTATTTTCTCCTAAACCATGCATACACCGCAAAACATGTAACTACAAGAACTAATATGAAACAAATTCTACAATAACACAAAATTACCTGAGCTGTTTTATCCGGATTATAGCCATGTGAGTTCCCAACAACAGAATAGGGTACTTTCTCACGATCCAGCTTGGAAGTGACATATGTGAGGTCTGCTTTGCTGATCTCCACCACAGCTCCAACTTCTTCAGCAAACAGAACATTCAGAGGAGAAACTGCGAGGGAAAAATAAATAAATATACAGAATATTCATGCGTGTCCAGAATCAAGTGCCTCACCAGCTGACCAGTTACGCTTCTTGACATCTCATGCTTCTGTTGTGCACCCAGTTCTGCAAATCTAGCATATCTGTGAGCATACTGTTCCTTCCTGGCTTCTTAAACAGATGCCTGTTCCTTCTTGGCTTCTTAAACAGATGCCTGTTCCTTCTTGGCTTCTCAAACATATGACTGTTCCTTCTTGGCTTCTCAAACAGATGCCTGTTCATTCTTGGCTTCTCAAACAGATGACTTCCTTCTTGGCTTCTTAAACAGATGCCTGTTCCTTCCTGGCTTCTCAAACAGATGACTGTTCGTTCTTGGCTTCTTAAACAGATGCCTGTTCCTTCCTGGCTTCTCAAACAGATGACTGTTCGTTCTTGGCTTCTTAAACAGATGACTGTTCGTTCTTGGCTTCTTAAACAGATGCCTGTTCCTTCCTGGCTTCTTAAAAAGATAACTGTTCCTTCTTGGCTTCTCAAACAGATGACTTTTTCTTCATGGATTCTTAAACAGATGCCTGTTCCTTCTTGGCTTCTCAAACAGATGACTTTTTCTTCATGGATTCTTAAACAGATGCCTGTTCCTTCTTGGCTTCCCAGATGCCTGCACATTCTTGGCTTCTCAAACACGACTTCATAGGAAACAACCCCATGGATGTTGAGCAGGCTCCTGGTACGGAACCTATTTCTAGGATGACCACGGATGTGTAGACAGGTCTGGACCAGTATGATCCTTGGTCCTGGGTGCACCACTGCATGTGCCCCAGCACCTCTGCATCCCATGGGATAAACACAATGGTGGTTTCCTCTTGTTTGCGCACCAGTGAAAGAAAAAGTTATCTGTAGTCATACTAGTCATATTCTGTAAATTTTGATGTCTAAGATGTATACAATGTCCTGCATTCATGCTGATCCTGCATCTTCATCCATGAACCTTTAGTTCCATTTCTGATTTTCTTAAACAATTAAAATTTTTAAATATCTAGAAACCATGAGTTGTAAACCCTTTGGCTCGGTACTACGGATATCGCGACCCTTTGGCCTTGATTCCATGGTAGATACCGTAAATCTGGGAGGAATGTGTTTTTCTGCCTACCCCTGGCATAAACCCGGACCACAACAGGTTCGTCACCAGGTCGCCACGCAGTCCACTTTAGCTAACTGCGCTAGCTAGCCAGGAAAAAATTTATTAATTAACTATCAAAGTATTTACATTTTTAATATACTGGGCCATTTATAAGTCAGCAAGTAGGCCTTTATGAACTCAAGTGAGATCCACAAGGCACATTTTCTAATGCTTGACTATTACTGTGTGGTAATAATACACAATAAGTTTATTTATGTGTGCAAACAACAATTCTGTGTAGCAAGATACAGCGAAACATGCCAGGCACTAAAATGTGCAACATATTGTTCACACCCTCATTATGGTGTTTCCCATGCCCAGCTATAAGCAGTGCTCAAAACAGAATTGCTAAATCAACTGAGCGTGCTCATACTACTGGTTGTTTGGTTTTGTGTGCTCTGAAAACAACCTAGTGAAATGATACAAAAGCATCGAGTTCTCAAAAGCTCATGTCTCCCAAACCAGAATCGTTTTTTTCTCTCTTGACTCTCAGATATATCTGGCTATATCTTTTGAATAAATTAAATTTGTTGTTGAGTTCTGAGTTTCTGTGAGTTCTCAGTCTCTAAATAGCTATGACTTCTTGTGTGAACAATTTTCTTTCTGTGGGCTCTGTAGCCTCATTGTGGGGAAAAAGAATAGACACCTTGCCTAGTTAAAAGCCTGTCATAAGAGTCAGTTAACTGGGAGCTTCCCTTGAAGTTGGAGTACATCTTCCTGAGAGGCAAGGAATCAACAGTCTGCACACACACACACACACAAGGCAGATCTGTAAAATGGATGGGCATGCAACACTCAAGTTCTGGTACAGGACTGGAGACCAGAAGTGGAAGAACAACCAGAAGAACTTTCTGCTGGAGTTCACAGCATGTGAACACGAAGAAGAAGCAGTGTAAAAAAAAAAATTTGAAACAGGAAATCTACACTGTCAATCACAAACCCTTTCAGTAATTTGTGTGTATATTATAAATGGTTAACTCCTCCAAAACCATTACCAATACATTGGTTAAATTTTCATTTGCTTTTATGACTGCAATGTTTAACAGTCACATTGGCGGCCCAGGTTATTGTACATTTCTTTATTTATTGCGACAATCAGTAAAAGTAAACTTTCACTGGAGTTATATCTGAATATTCCCCCCCCCCCATTACTTCCCTTAAAAGGGTAATTTTTATAATATTATTTCGCTGTTATCTTCCTTGAAACCATATCTATATGTGTGTCTGAGACAATACATTTGTCTGTCTCCCAAATAGTTAAATACTGATGTTAGTATTACAGAGGATGCCTCAGGTGCACTTAGCAGCAATGACCAAAGATACGGCAGTTGTGGAGACAATGACAAAGTAGAAGACAGGATATTAAATAAAGAGTTTTAGTTAGACCCCTATTTCCACTAGGCCTACATATAGGGCACCGGTGGGGACCATGATGAATTAGAGGACGGGAGAATAAAGCTTTCTTTCACTTCACCATCCCGGGCGAAGCGGGTAATTAAATCTAGTAACACATAAATTATCAAATGAGCCTAATACCTTTGCTTTCAGTAACTGGAATGTCAACCACAAGACCACAATTTCCTGCAAATGCCATTTCCAGGAGACAGACGATGAGACCGCCATCGCTGACATCATGACCTGATTTTAATTTCTTTTCTGTGGGCAAAAATCAACAGCAAATGTTTCAAAAATTTAGAGACATCTCTCTCTCTCTCTCCGACACACACAGTTCAGTCCCCCCCCCCCCAAAAAAAAAAAAACCTAAAGGAAGGCTGATGAAAGAGACCAAAGGCACCAAACTGAATTCCATCCATGGACAAGTAACAAGTGTTCTTTTAAGGATTTCTTTTGGATGCCCTGACTTCCTCAATCCTCTCCTTTCCCATTGAGTGCCTGCTTGGTGCTTCTCTGCTGGTTTCTTCTCAAGATGTGTCTAATATAGCGCCATCTTCTGTGTCTTATAACTGTTGTTACCAGTGGTTGCTCAGACAATTCTCTTATTTCTTCACCCCTATTGAATTCACCCCATTTTATGTTCAACATTTTTCTGAGGTATTATTTTTCAAATGCATTAACTTTCACTTCATATCATTAGTAGTTCAACTTTCACTAGCATATGTTAAAACTGAAATAATATTAGAACTGAAAATACGTAACCTGGTCTTAGAACTATACAATTTAGAGTTCCATGTTTTGTTGAAGCTATTAAAAGCTGCTGATGCCTTGCATATTCATGTCAGAATTGCTTTCTTTCTATTTTCTTGATTATTGAAATTTCTATTTAAATAAGTAAATTGTGATCTGTTAGTTTAATTCTTTTTGTCTTGTGTTACATCTGCCAGATTTATTGTTGGTGTCTTTAATATGTTTGCCTTTTCATAACTATGTGTAGTCAAACCATTGATACTATTTGTGATAAATCATATGTTTTTCTCTGCAGGTAGTTGTAGTCAAAACATTGATACTATTTGTGATAAATCATATGTTTTTCTCTGCAGGTAGTTGCAGTCAAACCATTGATACTATATGTGATAAATCATATGTTTTTCTCTGCAGGTAGTTGCAGTCAAACAATTGATACTATATGTGATAAATCATATGTTTTTCTCTGCAGGTAGTTGCAGTCAAACCATTAATACTATATGTGATAAATCATATGTTTTTCTCTGCAGGTAGTTGCAGTCAAACAATTGATACTATATGTGATAAATCATATGTTTTTCTCTGCAGGTAGTTGCAGTCAAACCATTGATACTATATGTGATAAATCATATGTTTTTCTCTGCAGGTAGTTGCAGTCAAACAATTGATACTATATGTGATAAATCATATGTTTTTCTCTGCAGGTAGTTGCAGTCAAACAATTGATACTATATGTGATAATTCATATGTTTTTCTCTGCAGGTAGTTGCAGTCAAACAATTGATACTATATGTGATAAATCATATGTTTTTCTCTGCAGGTAGTTGCAGTCAAACAATTGATACTATATGTGATAAATCATATGTTTTTCTCTGCAGGTAGTTGCAGTCAAACAATTGATACTATATGTGATAATTCATATGTTTTTCTCTGCAGGTAGTTGCAGTCAAACAATTGATACTATATGTGATAATTCATATGTTTTTCTCTGCAGGTAGTTGCAGTCAAACAACTGATACTATATGTGATAATTCATATGTTTTTCTCTGCAGGTAGTTGCTGCTTTTTTTTTTTTTTACTTAGCAGAACAATATCATCAGCAAAATCGAGATCTTTCAACTGTGTGCTCTCCGCCCAGTCAATGCAATGTTTCAACTGTGTGCTCTCCACCCAGTCAATGCAATGTTTCAACTGTGTGCTCTCCGCCCAGTCAATGCAATGTTTCAACTGTGTGCTCTCCACCCAGTCAATGCAATGTTCCAACTGTGTGCTCTCCACCCAGTCAATGCAATGTTTCAACTGTGTGCTCTCCACCCAGTCAATGCAATGTTCCAACTGTGTGCTCTCCACCCAGTCAATGCAATGTTTCAACTGTGTGCTCTCCACCCAGTCAATGCAATGTTTCAACTGTGTGCTCTCCACCCAGTCAATGCAATGTTTCAACTGTGTGCTCTCCACCCAGTCAATGCAATGTTTCAACTGTGTGCTCTCCACCCAGTCAATGCAATGTTCCAACTGTGTGCTCTCCACCCAGTCAATGCAATGTTCCAACTGTGTGCTCTCCACCCAGTCAATGCAATGTTCCAACTGTGTGCTCTCCACCCAGTCAATGCAATGTTCCAACTGTGTGCTCTCCACCCAGTCAATGCAATGTTCCAACTGTGTGCTCTCCACCCAGTCAATGCAATGTTCCAACTGTGTGCTCTCCACCCAGTCAATGCAATGTTTCAACTGTGTGCTCTCCACCCAGTCAATGCAATGTTTCAAACACAACAGTTTTTTCAATGGTTTACCAAATAACAAGTTTCAACTGTGTGCTCTCCGCCCAGTCAATGCAATGTTTCAAACACAACAGTTTTTTCAATGGTTTACCAAATAACAAGTTTCAACTGTGTGCTCTCCACCCAGTCAATGCAATGTTTCAAACACAACAGTTTTTTCAATGGTTTACCAAATAACAAGTTTCAACTGTGTGCTCTCCACCCAGTCAATGCAATGTTTCAAACACAACAGTTATTTCAATGGTTTACCAAATAACAAGTTTCAACTGTGTGCTCTCCACCCAGTCAATGCAATGTTTCAAACACAACAGTTTTTTCAATGGTTTACCAAATAACAAGTTCCAACTGTGTGCTCTCCACCCAGTCAATGCAATGTTTCAAACAACAGTTTTTTCAATGGTTTACCAAATAACAAGTTTCAACTGCAAACCAATCACTATATTCATTCTTTTTATAGGTATACCATAATTCCCCACAGTGATGATCTGAGTGAGCTATCAAAAGTATATACAGTGGAACCTCGCTTGACAAGCATAATTCGTTCCAGAATCATACTCGTTAAGCGAAACACTCGTTTTGCGAAACAATTTTTCTCATGTAAATTAATGTAAAATACGATAATGCATTCCATGGCGAAAAAATGCTTACAAAGTTCTATGTATAACGTTTATTCAAAGAAAATTATATACATATCGTTAAGGAGAGTGAATCATCTTAATCTTTTCTTCAAACGCGGAACAAACCCACCTGGAATGCGAATTCGATTTGCAGAAAAAAAAGTTGAAATAACTATGATGCATAGCTAATTAATTTTTTTTTTCTAGAAAAATGTCTAGAGACATTTGTTTTTGCCGACGCTTAAAAATTTGGCGAAAATGCGACACAGCATAATAATTAAATAAATTTAAAATGCACATAGCCACTTCCTAATTAGGGTTATTCTTCTCAATGTGAGATGCAACAGTTTGCCATGCTTTCAGCACTTCTCTTATTTCGCCAGAAGATTGTTGCTTTTCTGTTACATCCTCCTCTGACAAACGTTCCTCCAAAACTCCTTGCTGTGAAACACAATGCAACTCCATAAGCTCTTGGGTGGTCAGCTCTTGGATGTGCTCTTTCACAAGCTCTTCGATATCACTGTTATCCACCTAAAATCCCACGATAGTGGCCAAAGACACAATCTCGTTGACTACAGGTTCCACAGGTACTGTCTCGAACCCCTCAAAGTCAGAAATCGACAACGCTTTCCGGCTAAAGCTTCTTCCAAGCAAAAGTTAGAGTTCTCTAGGTAACCCCTTCACCCGCCTTGTCGATCATCTTGAGGCAGGCAAGGATGTGTAAGTGTTTTTTCCAAAACTCTTTGAGAGTGAGATTGGTCCCTTCAGTAACCTGAAAACAATGCTGGAAGAGTGCTTTAGTGTAGAGCTTTTTAAAGTTAGAAATAACTTGCTGGTCCATAGGCTGGAGAAACGGAGTGTGTTGGGAGGCAGAAACCGGATCTTGCTGAACTTAAATACTTCAGGTAGGTAAACTTGTAGACCTGGCGGATTCATGTACATATATCACAATATAACACAAGTTTGAGAAATTGTGTGTGATCACAAGCAACACTACGATGCTACTGGAACGAGTGCTAAACACAGACTGATGTAACATGCGCACAATTCGGGACTTCCCCTCTCCTCGCCACTCGTTATGCGAAACGTCGCTCGTTAAGCAAGTAATTTTTTTACAATTTGTTTCGCTCGTTATGCGAATTACTTGTTATGAGAGGTGCTCGTTAAGCGAGGTTTTACTGTATATGCGTATGTGTGTACTGGGGGAAGGGAGCTAATGCAGTCGTTACAAACTGTGCATGTTAAAATGTTTATTTCTGCCCTGGATATCATTAAATGTTTGTACACAAGAAGCCACTCACATACCTCTAATTAAATCTTGCACTGCTGCAAAAGTCCTGATAAAAGTTTCTGTGTCAACGTCAGGAACCTGGTCACCAAGCTGCTGAAAGCAGTGAGCCAGAGAACTGCCACCCAGACGCCAGTCGCTTGTGGCACTCATTGGCAGGTAGAGTAAAACACCTAGACATAAACATATTGACCACTCATTGGCAGGTAGAGTAAAACACCTAGACATAAACATGTTGACCACTCATTGGCAGGTAGAGTAAAACACCTAGACATAAACATGTTGACCACTCAATGGCAGGTAGAGTAAAACACCTAGACATAAACATGTTGACCACTCAATGGCAGGTAGAGTAAAACACCTAGACATAAACATATTGACCACTCATTGGCAGGTAGAGTAAAACACCTAGACATAAACATGTTGACCACTCAATGGCAGGTAGAGTAAAACACCTAGACATAAACATATTGACCACTCATTGGCAGGTAGAGTAAAACACCTAGACATAAACATATTGACCACTCATTGGCAGGTAGAGTAAAACACCTAGACATAAACATATTGACCACTCATTGGCAGGTAGAGTAAAACACCTAGACATAAACATATTGACCACTCATTGGCAGGTAGAGTAAAACACCTAGACATAAACATATTGACCACTCATTGGCAGGTAGAGTAAAACACCTAGACATAAACATATTGACCACTCATTGGCAGGTAGAGTAAAACACCTAGACATAAACATATTGACCACTCATTGGCAGGTAGAGTAAAACACCTAGACATAAACATATTGACCACTCATTGGCAGGTAGAGTAAAACACCTCTAGACATAAACATATTGACCACTCATTGGCAGGTAGAGTAAAACACCTAGACATAAACATATTGACCACTCATTGGCAGGTAGAGTAAAACACCTAGACATAAACATATTGACCACTCATTGGCAGGTAGAGTAAAACACCTAGACATAAACATATTGACCACTCATTGGCAGGTAGAGTAAAACACCTAGACATAAACATATTGACCACTCATTGGCAGGTAGAGTAAAACACCTAGACATAAACATATTGACCACTCATTGGCAGGTAGAGTAAAAACACCTAGACATAAACATATTGACCACTCATTGGCAGGTAGAGTAAAACACCTAGACATAAACATATTGACCACTCATTGGCAGGTAGAGTAAAACACCTAGACATAAACATGTTAACCACTCATTGGCAGGTAGAGTAAAACACCTAGACATAAACATATTGACCACTCATTGGCAGGTAGAGTAAAACACCTAGACATAAACATGTTGACCACTCAATGGCAGGTAGAGTAAAACACCTAGACATAAACATATTGACCACTCATTGGCAGGTAGAGTAAAACACCTAGACATAAACATATTGACCACTCATTGGCAGGTAGAGTAAAACACCTAGACATAAACATATTGACCACTCATTGGCAGGTAGAGTAAAACACCTAGACATAAACATGTTGACCACTCATTGGCAGGTAGAGTAAAACACCTAGACATAAACATGTTGACCACTCATTGGCAGGTAGAGTAAAACACCTAGACATAAACATATTGACCACTCATTGGCAGGTAGAGTAAAACACCTAGACATAAACATATTGACCACTCATTGGCAGGTAGAGTAAAACACCTAGACATAAACATGTTAACCACTCATTGGCAGGTAGAGTAAAACACCTAGACATAAACATGTTGACCACTCATTGGCAGGTAGAGTAAAACACCTAGACATAAACATATTGACCACTCATTGGCAGGTAGAGTAAAACACCTAGACATAACATGTTAACATATCAATACTGGTAAACGAGGTACACAAGCTAAGAAATGAGCAATAATGATTACTGCTCATACATTTCAACTTAACTGCTTCATCGTGAATAAACAGTGTAGATATATCAATATCAATAACGAAATGATTTCTGGTCAACTTTGAGACCAGACATCAAATGATACATCAGGAAAATTGAAACCAAACCATTTCCACCAGAAAATCTAAATGTGACTGAATTTTAACTGCAAGTTTTATTATCTTCACACTTCTATTTTTCCCAGCCGTCCATTAAGATGAGGAAAAATTGAGAGGTTCTTGGGTTCAGTTTCCATAACTCAATTTTTTCCCTACCAAAGCTCTGATGGCACCATACGATCATGTTCAAATGTTTTGCTTGAAGCTTAAAATTCATACTTTTTTTGGTTTTGTTTTTAAATGAGCTGGAAAAATATAATAGTTTAACAGATTATTACATGTACAAATGCACTCAATTTCAAAACTGCATGCCCCCCCCCCCCCCCCCCCAAAAAAAAACCTGCTTTAAGGAAATTAAAGTGTGGGAAGAAAAGCTGGTATGGAAAGGACATACAATGAGTTAGCCTGATACCTGATAAAAATAAAACTAGAACATGGTTACACTGCAACCCACAAGGTCAAAGAAATAAAGGCATAACAACACCCAAAAGGGTTAAGAAGAAAAACATATGGTGGAGAAGTACAGTGAACAAGAGTGTGAAGTGAAAGTTGAGGAGGACATGGGATGAGCTACATGTGATAGCAAACGATAAGACTTGCTGTGTGTTGGTTGATGGCCAATTCTCTACACAGGAATAAAGAAGAGAAGAAAGTGAATTCATAAAGTGATGAAACAAATTTTGTTTACAGCAAAACATTTCAATATATTCCAGAAGTCCCATCAGGGAAAGGATCAGACAGGAGGTAAGAATATGGTGACCATCTGAGATAACAACCCTTGACTGTTTAAGCTTTCAGACATGACATATTAAAATGATAAATCTCTGAGCATAGTGGAAAAAGAGGTAACAAACCTCAGCCATTTCTCTGCTCACAAATGCCAAACTTACCTTCGCCATCTGGGCTTTTGCAATCTGGTGTTACTGTTAGTCTGATGTCTGGACAACCAACGTAAGCTGAGATCACCAATGTACCTAAAGAAAAGTGTGAAAAGAGTGTGTACTGACCGTTCTTGATTTACAATGCACCTTATTCTGAAATGTTAAATTAGACTTAAAATTCAATCACATTCATTAGTTACACAATAAAACAATACTAGTTCTTCTACCATAGGCATATGTTTGTATTGTTTTACCACTTCCAATACAAAGAACTTCACGTATATCAGATTTTCATTCTGCAGATAATAAACATTCAACATCTGCAACAACAACAAAGGATCAGCTTTAAATAAAGCACCACAGAGAATCTGTCATATATATATATATATATATATATATATATATATATATATATATATATATATAGTGCTTACATTATGTGCAGGCACAAATTAACATATTTGTAGTTTATTATATAAAGATCCCAACATCGCCTTTGATAGAGTAAAGCAATCTACATTCATTCTAATTACCTATACTCGCCAAAATTATCTCAATACTTAGCTATGGAATATCATACTATACAATGTTTAACATGCTGTAGAGTTCAAGAATATCTGTTTAAAACTGTTTCTATATTCTATAGCCATTGCTAACTTAATATAACAATGTGCCAAACCCTGTGACTTAGGGAGATTGCACCTGCGGTTTATTAAATACACGACCAGGGCACATAATGACACATGTAGTTTGCAAGGGATATAATTCCAGCGAAATGTAACTTTGTGGGTTAATATGCTGAAGCCATGGTTGCTAATATGACTTTTTGTGAAGATTGTAACCGGAACGATCAGTGTAAGTTTAACTCATGAGAATGTCATCATATAGGTCAAGTCAGCGCAATTCTCCAACAAAAATATAAATTCTGAGTTTTACATTACAGATGTTCTAGTTATTCTCTGATGTTTCCAAAGATTATATATAAGGGATATAATCCAGTTTCCTTTTCAGGACGAAATTTTTTGTCATTTGAAGCCCTACTCTGGCTTTTGCCAGGGGCCACAATATAGGCAGGCCATAAATATGGCCAAATGTCTGAACGCGGTTTCTGGGACCTCTCCACGGCGATCCTCATCCGCATGGTGGCACTTTGTGTCATCGGGTGTTTATCGCTTGTGTGATGTCCTGGTGGGGTAAAAAGTCAGTCAGTCAGATTATATCAGTAATGACTGGATGTTATAATATAACCTCGACATTAAAGTAATCCAGTTTCGTCTTTTTTTAGGATGAAATTTTGTGTTATTTGAAGCCCCACCCTGGCTTTTGCCAGGGGCCGCAATATAGGCAGGCCATAAATACACCAATTGTCTGAACACGATTTCTGGGACCTCTCCATGGCGATCCTCATCCACATGGTGGCACTTTGTGTCGTCGGGTGTTTGTCGCTTGTGTGATGTCCTAGTGGGGTAGAAAGTCAGTCAGTCAGTCTTCTTCTTCTTGTGTTCGCTTTCTGATTTACACCGACAGACAGGTTCTTGTGATAAACTTGACTGTTTTTCCTTTTCTTCTCATAGTATGTTACTGCATTCTCTTCCTGGTCACATCCTGCCCCTTTCTTAGCAAGTTTATCAGCGGTTTCGTTTCCTGGTATACCACAGTGGGATGGCACCCACTGGAGTACAGTACACTTTTGGGCAGTCAACTTGCCAAGTTCAGATCTTAGGTGAGGGAGTTTGCCTCTCTTGACGGCTTGAAGCGCTGCATCTGTGAATATGACCACTTGGTGGCAGTCAGAACTGGTGCAGTCAGTCAGTCAACCTCGACATTAAATTTTCATTTTAGTTAAATATTTATCGAGGTGTAAGGAAGTAAATCGGCAAGCTAGAACCCTCAGGATGTTCTCCACATTAGGTCATACTGCTAAGAAAAAAGTATTCCCTCCATTTTGGCTGGCAGCTATTTTCTAGTTTGTAATTGCCTTGTTCATAAGTGTTTAAATTTTGCAACTAGTTTTCAAACGGACGAGGTAGCCATTGTCACAGGAACACTCCTTGGCCACTTCCTTGGGGCATATGGTACACATAGGTGTCTAGTCACTTCCTGCTCTACTGTACTTTTTTTTTACTCAGAAAATGTTCAATTGAGAAAAGATGACATGTATTACATCCAACCTAATAACAGGATTTTACTTTTGAAACTGTTTGCCTACTTCAGTTCTCATAATTTCTTCTTTGTCTATCTCAGCAGTAAGCATCACCTATCCTCCTAATTCTAAATGCTGACCTGAAAATGAGTTAAGAACACTAGGAGCATTCTCATATGTATTCTGTCACCATCTTCAGCAGCCAAGGCAGATTTCCAGTACTAATGGTACCACTAGAAGTTTGATTATGTGTTCATCATACCTTTCCTTTCACTCTTTGTATAGTTTACAGAGAATATTATGGCCTATAGCAAACTAGGTGACAATTGAAAAACTGTCTTTCAAAGGGAGTAATATAAGAAATGAATGTAAATGCAGAATACATATTTAAAAAAAAAAAAGCAACACAGAGACCGCCTTTACCTGGCGCTTTAACAACATCTCCACTGACTCTTGCTGCCATACTGAGAGAGTCTTTCCCTCCATCAATGGCAACTCCAATCTGCTTCATGAAACTACACATTGCTTCACATGCATCCAGTAGAGCCACTCCTTCACCTTCCAGCTTAGCTGGCCACATCCAGTTACCACTACATTTGATATCCTGTGAATGTTGCAACAAATGATAATGAAAAAGTCAAGCTAGCATCAATACTTTGCAGATAAAACTGTGATACTTATTTTATTTTGTTAGTTGCGTATCCTTTACAGGACGTTGCAGAACCAACCCCAAAAGCTCCCAGCTGTTGTGTGGTTTTTCCAGGCAAATGTACGTCCAGTAGTTTGCCATTGCTTTCTGGATGGGCGGCTTTCTTGATACCACTGTCGAAACCAACACAAGGCCCGCAGCTGGGATCGAACCCGGCATCCCGGCATTACGAAGCATTGTGATACTATTACACAATTTAAAAGAATAAAGCACAGAAAAAAGATCAGCGAATGTACTTCATCAAAGTGTTGCTGATAGGAGCTGTAAGGATCCTCTGTAAGGCCTTTCCAATGTGTTGTGTGAGTTGGTCTTTATTTCTTCAAGGATGATGAAGGCTTGATGCCAGCATTTCATCTTCTTTGTAGTCTTCCCCTTCGAGTGTGTCCATTATATTTCTTCACCATAACTCTCTGTAGCTGCTGGTACCATGACATTCTTGTCAGATGACCAAACCATCTCATTTGTTGCTCTTTACCAGCTGTGACTGGCTTTAGTACTAGTCTTCTAATTTCTTCATTTTCAACTGTACCTCTTCTTGTTGGTCTGACAGCTCTAAGACAACATCTGTTACAACTTTGTACTTATTAGTTTTGAAGTTGAAAAAAAAAAGTAAGGGTCCCCTTTCCTTCAGGAGTATAGGGCACATAGGGCTAGACCTATATTTTTATTGACAAAACAGCACATGATAGGTGATGTGGTCAGCATCATGGCGGCTGCTTAATAGTTTTAGTAAACTTCTTCTTTTTCGTGTTCACCAGCTGTAAACTCGGGCGGAAAGTTCTGGTTGTTCATCCACTTCTGGACAGAAGTCCCGTTCCAGAACCTGAGCGTTGCATGTGCATCCGTTTTACAGATCTGACTCATTTATATGCAGACTGCTGGTTCCTTGCCTCTCAGGCAGAAGCACTCCGACTTCGAAGGAAGCTCCCAATTAGTCGACTCTTACGACATGCTTTTGGGTAGGCAGTGGGTTTATTCTTGTTTTCCCTATAATAGGGCCCCGGAACCTACACAGGGTTTTCAGTAAACTGAAATGCTACAGAAAAATTCTTTGAATACAACCGACCAAGAAAAAAAAAAAAAACAACAACATCCTACATGACTTGAGCATCAACAAGAATTGGCTCATAACCAGCGTCCTGCCCTTCTTCTTCTTCATGTTCACCGGCTGTAAACTCCTGCAGAAAATTCTGGTTGTATTTTCACCTCTGGAATTAGAACTTGAGAGTTGCACGCACAGCCATTTAAGATATCTGACTTAACTGTATGCACACTGTTCCTTGCCTCCCAGACAGATGCCCTCTGACTTTGAAGGAAGCCCCTAAATAGTCGACTCATGACATGCTAGTTGGGGAGGCAGGGGTCTATTCTTGTTTCCCTCACAATGGGGCCCTGGAACCCATACTGGGACCATTCTGTTCTAAAAGCTGAAGTATTCTGGCCAAGTTAAATATCAAGATATAAGTTAGCTCTAGAAGGGGTTTGGCAGCAGCAAACTGCGAAGAGCGAACTCTCTGTCTTTTATATCAAGGTCTGGTCCTTTCATTGATCGAGTATGCCCAGGCGATTCTTACGCTTAGCCAGACTAAGAGAGACTGGAAAAGATATAAAACGAGGCCATGTGCATTATATCTGGGTACACTAAAGATACAGCATGTAGAACAATGCGGTACCTCCTTGGTTTTTCAACAATGGAAGCTAGAAAAGGATCTGTCGAGCACACGCATACCTCTGAATCAGTGCCGACACACAACATCCACTGCACAATGAAATCAGGAAAAAAGACAGCAGATTAAAGAGAGGGAAATCATGGATGGGTCAGGCTAAGGATATTATACAAGAGGTTAGCCCTCTTGAGGACATAGAACCCGGGGAAGAATGAGTAAGTGTACCAGTGTCATACGTCCTTTGAAGTATGCATCAAGCTGAACAGAGAATGAAGACAACAAAATCCAGTAGTTGTGGAAGCAGAAGTGCAGGCCTTGATATGTAAGAATTCTTCTGAAGGTGATGTATTATCTTCGCAGATGGGTCTGTCATTCCAAATGTCAGGAGCTCGTGAGCATTTACGGCTCAGGTCGGAGGGAGAACTGTCAAACAAGACTGTGGTGCCTTCGCCTTGATGACATGCAGTTTGACTGTGGAGGTCATGGCAGCAACTAAAGCAATAGCCTGGCTAGAAACACAAGACTCTCACTCAGGCATGCTTTCTCAGCGACTCAATGAATACACTCAAGAAGATCGAGAAGGGTTGCTTAGGCAGACTATGGGCTGAGTCTCTGAATAGATCTACGCTGACAAAAACCAGTTTCATATTTGTTCCAGAGCATTCTGGTGTAATGGGCAATGAAAGAGCTGACAAACTTGCAAGTGATGCTCACGTGGGAAACGGATCAGCAATGGACAGGGTTGATTTACTGCCTCAGAGAGGCGGTTCGATTAAACAAATAAGTAAGGATTGTGAATCTGAAACACTGACCAGACTAAACGAACATAACATCAAAAGGGGTGAAGCCAGACAAGAGCACTACACAGGCACCCAATAAAGAATAATAAACCAACACAGAAAAAGTGGCTACTACATGCTGGAGGAAATACTGAAGAGCACTTATGGACTGAATGGTTCCATCTGCGATGATGATAATCTGTCGGCTAACTAACTAACATGTTAGCTTTTGTATTCAAGCTTGTTTTGCTAAATTACTTGGAAGTATTCTGGAAATAATGCAAAGCTTCATCTACTGACAAATATATGCTGCAAACAGGAATTGCACAAAAAAAAATCAAACCTTAATATCAGTGATAGAAGCAAACATGATGTTTGTCAGAGCTTCTGCCACAGAAAGTCTGGCTCCGGCTGCTGGATCCAGCAAACCTTTAATAGGCTGTTCTCCAATTGATGTTGCAGCCCCAACCTAAACAAAAAAATGCTAGATTAAAATATCTTTCACACCAAAAAAAATTTTTTTTAGATTAAAAACATCTTTCACAAATAAAAGCTAGATTAAAAATCATTAGAAAGAGAGCCTTTTCTGTTCAACAAAGAATGCAATATTCAATTCAATTGCATAAGGTTTTATCCTATGTGGCTCGGTCTCTCTCAACAAAAGGGTTAGCCATTTGCTGAGAGTGCAATAAATGTGTCCCAGTAAAGAACATTCCTTATAACATTTCTCTTGACCCAACTTGGAAAACAAACAGTCCATGGACTGAATATGCTTTTTATTATGATTGGTGATCATGTTTTCTGTAGTGAATGTTACACGGAGCATTCTGTGTTTGGTTGGTTGGTTTGAACAGTAGATCAACATCATGGCACAAGGGCATTAACCCAAAAGTGCTCTGTTATAATTCTAACTCAAGCCAGAGTTATAAAAATATCAGCACAGTGCACAAACTCTGTAGCATCAGTAAGGATCCCGAACTAGTTTTGAGTAGATTTTTAACTCTAAATTTTGCCCTAGCAGTGCCGTTAGGCTACTTTTGTCGATTTCGAACTGCCAACCGAATTTTTTACGTGCACAACAATACACATGGGCGCCCGATCCTACTACCCAGAGACCAGGGAAAATTACTAGAAGTCCACGTGAAAAAATCCCAGCCTTGACGAGGGCCTCCAGCACTCGAGACCACTCAGCTTCCAATCTGTGTTTGGTCAGCAGCTTTGAATTCATCCCTGTGAGACTTTACTCCAGGGTAACGTGGTCATCAACGGGCAGGGATGTGTTAAAAGATTATCACACAGTAGGACTGCACCTGTCTGCTGTTTCCGAATTAGTGAAAATACAAAGCAAACCACATAATACTAGTCAAGCTCACAACTCAGCTCAAGTGATTTCAACAAATACTGCCAGATTAGCTTTTCTAAACCTTTAACTTTCATTAGTCTGGCAACAGGTGTCTCTTTGTCCTGTCTCTGTCCTTTGACTTGTCTATCATGGGAAACCCCACCAGAAGCTCATGGGCTCATATATCACATACATTCAACTATTTCATTAATGCGGAAACATAACAAGAGGGGAGGCCAATTCAATGTGGAGAAATAATAGAGGGGAGGCCAAATCAGCAGTTCAATTAGGAGTTAAATCTGCCTCAAACAAGTTGGATTACCAACAGTAAGACACTATGATCATGATCTCCTCTGTCAATATAGCATAAACTGGAATTTAAACAACAACAATCTATAAAGAAATCTGGTTTTAGTTCTTACTTTTGCCTCAAAGAGCACAAAATAAATAATGTGCTCAGTGTCATAGCCTCAGGTAATAAACATTTTCTGCAATGATTTTATCAGGAACTGGTACAAATATGACAAAGAGGGAGATGTGTATCCAGAAACACATAGTTGGCAGACTATTCAATAAGCCAATACAGCACCTCATCTGGAAAAAGCGTGACACCTAAAAATCCTTCTGTAATTATGAAGCTTCAACAAAATACTTCCATGTTTGAAAATCAAAACAGTACAATGTTTAGTGCACATATCCTAACTGTGCAAAAGAGTTCCACTTGTGCATGTTAAGCCAGGAACATAAAATCAACAATTTCTTGCCCATACATCACATATACTCACTGTATCAAAATGGGATAAGGCCACAACAGCGACGTCTGCAAGTGGTGTGTGCAGTGGACCCACACACTGCTGCTGAGCCACCAGGCCTGTGACTGACCTATCAACCTGTGAACATCCAACATTTTATGCACAACATTAAATGTTGGACACAACCCCTGCTATACTGCAAAAATAGAAAGTATAAGTACACAACTTTCATTAACTGAATATTAATTTCGGCCACAAAAGTTAGCATTACATCTACTGCATGAATATCTCCATGTGGGTTCCAAAGCTCCACAGTGGGGGGAGGGTAAAAAAGAATAGACACCCCCCACCAAGCATGTCGTGAAAGTCAACTAATTAGGGGTGTCTCTTTCGAAGTCAGAGTACATGTACCTGAGAAGCAAGGAATCAACAGTCTACTTACAAATAAGCCAGATCTGTAAAATGAATGTGCATGCAAAGCTCAAGTTCTGCAACAAGAATAAAGTCCAGAAGTAGGCGAAAACCAGAAATTTCTGCCAGAGTTTACAGCTGGTGAGAATAGGTTTTAGAATGTTAAATACTTCTTCCAACATGACTGCAAAAAGACAGCCTTGAAAAACAAGAGGCAGGTTTTTCTCAGTGCAATACTACAAAGCCCACGCCAGGTAGACAAATATACAGGCAACATTAGGTCCATTCATCAGATATTTGAATGCCTATTATCAGAACAAGACATCTGGCATCTATGAGATGACAGCGTCTGGAGAAGACTGGCAATTAGTATGTCATAATATTATTTCTGTTTACATAAGCATGAATAATGTATTCCTTCCCGCCAGGCAAACCCTTCACCACATTACTTGTGTAACCTGTCTTCACAGCCAACACTACCCATTTAATTTTCCTCATGACCCTGGTTCCCTTATCAGCAGTGATAAATACAGAAATTCAGATCTCGTTGTGACTCAAAAATAAATTGTGACTGTGGCCATGTGTGAGCAAGTTGGCAGTGAGTAAACTCTGAGACGTACGTGCATATTTAGTAGCCTTTTGAAAAAGATAACTCAGACCAGTAACATGTAATGTCATTTTTACTGTGATAATTCACTGACTGAAATCTCCAAGTGTTCCAGCACTCCATTTTGGGAGGGGAAAACTAACAGGTTCATAGCTCCCTAACAAGCATGTAAACATAAGGGTTTGCTGAAATCGGACACGTCGGACAATAGGGTGCAGAATATGGTAGTCTTGCTGTAAACCACAACATAACATGCCATCCACCCTTCAAAGGGTGAATATAGAAGATGATGAAGAAGAAGAAAATTTAAGCAATAGATGTATCATAAACATACGAATATTCATACTTACTTTGTTTGTAAGGTAGCGCTTGCTAGCAACTGATGGAAGGCGCAAAACTCTGTTCAATGCTTCTTGCACTGTTAGTGAATCTGGAAGAACAAGTGGCTCCAAGACTGGCTTTATTCTCTTCATTTCAAAAACCTGACCAGAGAAAATTCATATAAAAGGTAATCTTCATTTCAACCATTTGCACACCTCCTAATTGTGATAATGACTGAAAACAATAAGAACTGTAAACGCAAGGGCCTTTGTTGCATGTGGTGGTGAAGTTTGTTTTAAAACCATCACATGTCACATGGCTGGCAGAATCATTAATTGGAGTGTCATGTCACATGGCTAGCAAAATCATTAATTGGAGTGTTGTGTCACATGGCTAGCAGAATCATTAATTAGAGTGTTGTGTCACATGGCTAGCAGAATCATTAATTGGAGTGTCATGTCACATGGCTAGCAGAATCATTAATTGGAGTGTCATGTCACATGGCTTGCAGAATCAATAATTGGAGTGTCATGTCACATGGCTAGCAGAATCATTAATTGGAGTGTCATGTCACATGGCTTGCAGAATCAATAATTGGAGTGTCATGTCACATGGCTAGCAGAATCATTAATTGGAGTGTCATGTCACATGGCTTGCAGAATCATTAACTGGAGTGTCGTGTCACATGGCTAGCAGAATCATTAACCGGAGTGTCATGTCACATGGCTGGCTGAATCATTAATTGGAGTGTCATGTCACATGGCTTGCAGAATCATTAACTGGAGTGTCATGTCACATGGCTAGCAGAATCAATAATTGGAGTGTCATGTCACATGGCTAGCAGAATCATTAACCGGAGTGTCATGTCACATGGCTAGCAGAATCATTAACCGGAGTGTCATGTCACATGGCTAGCAGAATCATTAATTAGAGTGTTGTGTCACATGGCTAGCAGAATCATTAATTGGAGTGTTGTGTCACATGGCTAGCAGAATCAATAATTGGAGTGTCATGTCACATGGCTTGCAGAATCATTAACTGGAGTGTCGTGTCACATGGCTAGCAGAATCATTAACCGGAGTGTCATGTCACATGGCTGGCTGAATCATTAATTGGAGTGTTGTGTCACATGGCTAGCAGAATCATTAACTGGAGTGTTGTGTCACATGGCTAGCAGAATCATTAATTGGAGTGTTGTGTCACATGGCTAGCAGAATCATTAATTGGAGTGTTGTGTCACATGGCTAGCAGAATCAATAATTGGAGTGTCATGTCACATGGCTAGCAGAATCATTAATTGGAGTGTCATGTCACATGGCTTGCAGAATCATTAACTGGAGTGTCATGTCACATGGCTGGCAGAATCATTAACCGGAGTGTCATGTCACATGGCTGGCTGAATCATTAATTGGAGTGTTGTGTCACATGGCTAGCAGAATCATTAACTGGAGTGTTGTGTCACATGGCTAGCAGAATCTTTAATTGGAGTGTCATGTCACATGGCTAGCAGAATCATTAATTGGAGTGTTGTGTCACATGGCTAGCAGAATCATTAATTGGAGTGTTGTGTCACATGGCTAGCAAAATCATTAATTGGAGTGTTGTGTCACATGGCTAGCAGAATCATTAATTAGAGTGTCATGTCACATGGCTAGCAGAATCATTAATTAGAGTGTCATGTCACATGGCTAGCAGAATCATTAATTGGAGTGTTGTGTCACATGGCTAGCAGAATCATTAATTGGAGTGTTGTGTCACATGGCTAGCAGAATCAATAATTGGAGTGTCATGTCACATGGCTAGCAGAATCATTAATTGGAGTGTCATGTCACATGGCTTGCAGAATCATTAACTGGAGTGTCGTGTCACATGGCTAGCAGAATCATTAACTGGAGTGTCATGTCACATGGCTTGCAGAATCATTAATTACAGTGTTGTGTCACATGGCTAGCAGAATCATTAACTGGAGTGTCATGTCACATGGCTGGCTGAATCATTAATTGGAGTGTCATGTCACATGGCTGGCTGAATCATTAATTGGAGTGTCATGTCACATGGCTAGCAGAATCATTAATTAGAGTGTCATGTCACATGGCTAGCAGAATCATTAATTGGAGTGTTGTGTCACATGGCTAGCAGAATCATTAATTGGAGTGTTGTGTCACATGGCTAGCAGAATTATTAATTGGAGTGTCATGTCACATGGCTAGCAGAATCATTAATTGGAGTGTTGTGTCACATGGCTAGCAGAATTATTAATTGGAGTGTCATGTCACATGGCTAGCAGAATCATTAATTGAAGTGTCGTGTCACATGGCTAGCAGAATCATCAATTGAAGTGTCGTGTCACATGGCTAGCAGAATCATTAATTAGAGTGTTGTGTCACATGACTAGCAGAATCAATAATTAGAGTGTTGTATCACATGGCTAGCAGAATCATTAATTGGAGTGTCATGTCACATGGCTAGCAGAATCAATAATTAGAGTGTTGTGTCACATGACTAGCAGAATCAATAATTAGAGTGTTGTGTCACATGACTAGCAGAATCAATAATTGGAGTGTCATGTCACATGGCTGGCAGAATCATTAACTGGAGTGTCATGTCACATGGCTAGCAGAATCATTAACTGGAGTGTCATGTCACATGGCTAGCAGAATCATTAACTGGAGTGTCATGTCACATGGCTAGCAGAATCATTAATTGGAGTGTCATGTCACATGGCTAGCAGAATCATTAATTGGAGTGTCTCAACAGTCGACTGATACCGGGACGATTTCTGGTGGTGATTAATGTCAAAATCATACTGGCTGGATGCACATTCTGCCAGGAACCAGATCACTGTGAATCAAGTGGGAATCAAAGACTGAGACCGCCAGAAAGTGATGAAATAACCTTCTAAATCAAAGTGAACAAGCTGTAATCTTTAGATTCAACATCCCACACAACAGGCTGAAATATCACAAGTTCAGTAAGCTAAAGATGGAAAATACTGAGGAATATAACTGGAATTAGGAAAACTGTGCCTAAACCACTTCTTCAAGAGTGTCCATAACATAACATGTAAGGATCGTAGAGGCGTACTGATGGAAGCACTAGCACATAGTATTCACTATCCTTATCTGTTTTCTGTTTGTTCAACAAGTGTATAATAATCCAGCCCTGTACTTTTCTTGATGTAGTCATTCAGGTTTTTCTTTACCCCCTTCTTTTTTGACTATCTCCCAATGTTTCTTGAGGTAGAGTCTTTGCATTCGAATCATGTCTCACCCCGTGCCCGAAACAAACTAGCTTGCAACATTTCAACACTGCCAACAGATGCTCCTGTATGTTTATTTGGGTATCTAACATAAACAGAATATAGACAATTTTTCTGTTCTAAACCTACTCCATTGAGATTAATCTCCATGGAAATATCAACATCCTCAAATTGACTAGAGCTTTATTTGTATTCCTCCAGGTTGATGTGTGTTGGTGAGGTGGTACAGGCCACTCAAGGTGCTCTCAGATGTGACAAATCTCTGTTGCGGAGAATAGTTTGTGTATCCCCAGCAATGTTTCTTGTTTGAACTCTTATCAGAATAAGATGAATTTATGATAAGAACTACTTCCTGGGTCCCTGGTATGCTCTCCTTACCAGATCTGCACTGCATATAGAGCTAGCCTCCTATTTTAAGAGACCAATCGACAGTCAACAGGTAATGAGTTCTGTATCACAATGGTTGTTATTTTTTCTGGTACCCACTTAAGGCTGACTTAACAAAGGAACCAAAAAAAAAAAAGTTAAAAAAAGAAAAACCTACCACGAGGAAGATTCAAACATACGATGATCAGTCAAGCATGCTAACATTTCAGTTCCTGTATTAATTTCTCAGTTAAATTGTGTTGTTTTCCAAGACAAACACATCACAGTAACAGTTAATACAGCCAAGTTTAACAAGTTTAATTAGCTACGAAAACAAATTAATAATCTGGCAAGAAAAATAGGTAGTAAGTAACATACCTTTGCAGGCATAGAACCAAGAACGTATTCCAGTTTTAAATCCACTGGTTTCCTGAACTTGTCATCATTACTGACATCCTTCTTAAAATTTTCAAGCTCAATCTGAAAGTAAGGGAAAGTCAAATGAAGGTTAATGTGTCTATTAACTAGACTGTGAATGATCATGCTTAGCTAATTAAAACAATAGTACAGCCTTAAATATATTTATGGTAATCATCTCATTCTGGGATGCAATTTGTCGTTATTTGAAGCCCTATACTGGGTCTTGCCAGGGGCCGCAATATAGCCTGGCTATAAATATGGCTTAAAGACTGAATGCGGATTCTGGGACCTCTCCACGGTGATCCTAACCTGCATGGTGACACATTGTGCCATTGGGTGTTTATCGCTTGTGTGATGTCCTGGTGGGGTAGAAAGTCAGTCAGTCAGTCTTAAATAATACAGAACATATGGATTTCCCAAATTTATGACAAAAATTACGCACTGTAATTAGATGTATGGAAAAGATAATAGCAGAATTCATGGTGCCAGGAAGCAGGGGCAGGGGCCGACTAGCATGAGGATGGGTACAGGATATAAGAGACTCATTGGATATGAAAGTGCATGTGGTGGAAGAGCTGGTGAGAAGACAGTTTCTTTCAGGCAGACCAGGATGACAGCAACCTTCTGCACAGGACCTGCTAAATGATGATGATGAATTAGATACAGGGTAAGTGCTTTTGCAGCTGAGATCACAAACATGCCAGGAACTGACTGCCATGTGGTGACAGTGCATGTTACAATCAATCATACAGTTAGTGGTATCATCAGAATTGGAGTTCTGCACTTGCTGCTGAAGATGAGGATGGAACGCTTATGGGAGCATTCCAAGTGTTTTGATGTTGACTCTTAATTAAACATTTTCCCTGTGTAGGTTCCAGGGCCCCATTGCGGGGGAAAACAAGAATAGACCCACTGCCTACCCAAAAAAGGATGTCTTAAGAGTCGACTAATTGGCAGCTTAATTCAAAATCAGAGTGCATCTGATTGAGTAGCAAGAAACAACAAACAGCACACAAATAAACCAGTAAAATAGACGTACATGCAAAACTCAGCCACTGGCCAAAGACAAAGTTGAAAGTCCAAATAGATGAACAACCAGGACATATAAATAATTGTGGACTATTATGTGATGATAATGTGCAACACAATAGTAAGCAAATAAATGCCAATATAAAGTATTCTGTGTGTTCATAATCTACAACCACAATATGAAGACTGTCTCTGTGATATGTGGGAGTATTTGGGCATTGTCAAAGCGGGTATGTAGCATACTTGGTGTGTAGTATGCTAGAAGTATAGATAGGTTTCTTGTCTTTGCTGTGGAAGAAGTCTTGATAGCTACACTTCAGAGCAAGCTAAGTTTGTAGTTGTAGCTTCAAGCCAAATGACAACACGGCTTTAAATAACTAGATCTAGCAAAAAGGGTTCGATTCTTTTCCCATAAAGATTTATCAATGAATTGTCTCATCAGCTTAAGGAGCTTATTGTCAAGATTACAATTTACAAAATGAAGGTGTGCAACTTTGCACATGCAGGATTTAATATTAAATGTAACTGAGTTCCTGATGCCGGTTCCAGGGCCCCAATATGGAAAAAAAAAAAAGAACCAATGCCTCCCAGATAAGCATGTCATAAGAGTCAACTAATTGGGGGGGGGCCTCCTTTGAAGTTGTAGTGCATCTGCCTGAGAGGCAAGAAACCAACGATTTGCATATGAATAAGTCAGACCTGTAAAGCAGATATGCACGCAACACTCAGAATCTGGAACACGACTAAAGTCTGGAGGTGGACGAACAACCAGAACTTTCCCCAGGAGTTTACAGCTGGTGAACATAAAGAAGAAATAAAAACAGAGGAATCAGTTTTTAATAATAATAATATGCGCATACCTTTCCTGATCCTGTTATTGAACCCACACTGTATACAGGGCACCTCTCCCTCTGGCCAATTGCTTTTATCAAAACAAGATCGTCCTTTCTGACCAAAGCTGCGTTACTTTCTTGATATTCAGCTCCCCACAATTCCATAACGCTGATTGTTGGATCCCCAAGCTGGAAATCATCAGCTCGTATCACAGCACCTGCTGGTTCTGCAAGCTCCTTCAGCACATTTCCTGCAAGCATGAGGATCAAAACTGAAGCCATTTCTCATTACATAGAGGAGGGACAGACAAGGACAATATCAAAACATTTAGCTACCATCTCTAGCAGTCAAAAACATAGCATGGTACCAAAAAAATATGAACAATGCTAAAAGATACTTGTGTTGGCCCTCAAAATGTTGAGTGGCACACTGTGCTGTGGTTTACAGCTAGGCTGTTATATCTGTGCTGTTTGGCGCAATTCTTCCAATTTCCCCCAAAGCCATCCTGATATACTTCTTTAGGGGACAGTGAGTTTCTTAACACCCCCCCCCCCCCCCCCCCCCCATGGGGCTCCAACATGCCTAAATATACAATTTTTTAAAATATATATGAAGAAAATAAGAAAATTAACTGAAAAACACTGTTTCTTCTTGAGATGCTCATCTGATTTCTCAAGCACTATATGTTACCATCTATGTTTCCACAAAAAATTAGACCTGACATCATGATTACCCCTGGAGAGACCTGTCTTTTTATCACACCCCTAGCATCCCAGTATAATTTTAAAAAATGAAATGCTAGAATTCTATAGATCAGGAAGAGGAAAAACATCGACATTCTGAATGAGTTGAACATCAAGGACTGGCTCACAAACAGCATCCTGTCTTAAAAGTTGAAGTATTTTGGCCACATCAAGCGCCATGGTGGCTGAGAAAAGATGATAATGGAAGGTGCAGTTTGTGGAAGGTGAGGCAGGGGTCGACCACCGTGAAGATGGATACAAGACATTGAAGATGCATTAGCATTGAAAGCACATGGGGCCGGAGAGCTGGCTAGAGAAAGAGATACTTTCAGGCGTGCCGTGAAGAGAGCGACATTCTGTAAATGACTAGCTGATTGATGATAAATCTATGAATTTTAGTGAAGTCACTTTCATCTAAAACTTTTCCAGCAACTAAATCTGAGATTCTTCTTTTTTTCTTTTTCTTCGCGTTCACCAGCTGTACACTCTGGCAGAAAGTTCTGGTTGCTCGTTCACTATGAACTGCAGTCCTGCTCCAGAACCTTAGTGTTGTGTGTGCATCAGTTTTACAGATCCCATTCTCTTGAATACAGACTGTTGGTTCCTTGCCTCTCCGGCAGATGCACTCCGACTTCAAAGGAAGCTCCCCAATTAGTCGACTCTTACGACATGCTTTTGGGGAGGCAGTGGGTCTATTATTGTTTTCCCCACAATGGGGCCCCGGAACCCACACAGGGGTCTCTGAGATTATTGAATCAGATTACAACAAATACATACAGGATTTAATAAATATTTTCACACTGTAATTATGTGTACAAACCATTTCCACCTGCTCCTTGGTCATGAATACTTTTAATTGGGTTGTGTGTTCCTAGTTCTATACATGCCCGAATAACTCGGTTCATTTTTTGCTCCATTTCCGCATCACCGCGCTGAACTGCGCTGAAGTCTAGTTCTGCCTTGTTGTCTCCTTGAACGAGAACAGACGATGCTGCACCTCCCCCCAATCCAATCCGGTAAACTGGGCCACCCATTTTCACCACATCCATGGCTGAAAGAAAAGATCAGTTTTAGTTATTAATCGCCAATTCGAGTTTTTCTCTAAAAAAATATAAACAAGAAATTATCAAAAATGCTGGCAAGAACTGAAATTTTCATGTTTTCTTATATTTTTTAACTGCATTCATGCTTTGGAGGAAACCTGACCAACCCAGGCATAATCCCAGTCATCCTGCATCATCATCTAGTTATATCAACTACTAGTAATTAGGGTCTCAGTGGCAAAGTGGTCAAGCCGCTTGCCTCGTGCCCTGAAAGTCTTCGGTTCATTTCATGACGTTGTTCAGTTTGCGAGTGCAATTATTACGGAGATCCCTGGTGATCGTCGCCTGAGCTAAGAAGCTCATGCTCTGTGCGATGCTCTTGGCAGGCAGCTAGCTGTTCTGCGGAGATAGACTGAGACATATGGGATAAAACCCGGTTCAAGGAAGTCATCCTCTCTAAAAATAAAAAATAAAATAAAAGAATATTAGCTACTATTAAATGTTGAGCTATTGAGCAATTTACTGAACATAATTCAGACATAAAAGGCAGGACATACACTGAATTGATCTCAATACCACAATATACAGATATTGTAGGCAATAAAAGAGCAGAGAGATTAACTGATTCTCCCACCACATAAGAAATCCACCCAATGGACAAAGCTTACAATATGAATAATTTTGAGATCAAGGCCAAAATATAAACTTTCAACTAAAGAATTAAGTTAAGACTGAAGACCATAGTGCCTAGAAAAATCAAATCACCCCAAGTGCACGTCTGTCAATACTGAACTGACCCAGCTAGTTAAGTGGCCGAACACTAGCATATTTATTAATAAGGAAAATATCAGTATGACAATCTGCACTGAACCGAATTAATTATGAAAAGATGACTTACTTATGTCTGCAATCTCCTTGGTCACATGGTCCTTTTCTAACATTCCAATCCCTCCACTGAACATGATGGGTTTCACATACTCTCTCCTTTCTCCATCTGGTGTCTTCATTCCAAATGATCTAGCAAACCCAGCAAGTACCGGCTCTCCAAATTTGTTGCCATAATCCGAAGCACCATTACTTGCCTCTACAGCAATCTCAACTGGCAGAGCAAAGTTTGAAGGATACTCAACTTCTTGATTCTCCCACGGAAGATTGTAGCCTACATATAGAGAAAATATCAATAACATTACATTTGTGTTTCATATAAAATCATCTCAATGCCAAAAGTTGAAGTTACAATACTGTTGCAGTACTCTTTAATGTTTTAGAAAAACCTATCCGTCAATGTGGCTGAGTGAGACTGGAGATCCATAAAGTCCAGCTTGCTTCAGGCTAAATATCAAGGGGAGAGAGAGACAGATATTCAGAGAGAGAGATGGTGAAAGCGGAGAGAGAGAATGGGGGAAGGAAAGGCAGGTAGACAATAATAGAAAGACAAAAGTTAGAGCGAGAGACAGAGATGGAGGGAGGAGAGACAGAGACTAGGACAAAAGGAAAGAAAGACACAGACATATAGAGACAGGGTTAGACAAGACAGAGAGAAATGGGGGTAAGGAGAGAGGGAGATATAAAAAGACAGACAGTAAGAGAGGGAGACAGACAGACAGAGACACGGCTAATGCGAGAAGCGAGAGATAGACAAGATACACAGGCAGGCAGAAAAACATTAGCTGTATGAATGCGTCAGAAGTGGCAAAAATATCAAAGAGAAATACATCAAAACAATAGAACAGTCGGCCTGGCCATGCTAAAGAAAATCCACACCACTAACGTTAAATTTTTGGGGGGGGGGGGGGGGGGGGGAGAAAGAATATTTTATATAAGAGATACAAAGCAATTTGTGGGTCGAAATCAGTAGCAATGTTTATTAACATCAAACATAACGCAGGTAGTTATGGCATCTACAAACAGCAATGGTCAGTTCACTTGCTCGTAAAGCACTTTGAATTTCCCACCACCAGAGCAAAGGTTAAGATGTTATAGCCTTGTTCAAGTTCCTGGGTTTTCACAGCCTCAAAGCATTATAATGCCTTTTCTTGGTTTTTTCCCAGTTTTAAGACAGGCCATGAGACATGCCTAGTGTGTCCAAGATCTGTCAATAAAATGAAACATTTTAATGGGCAACAAACAATTATTTATTAATAGAAAGACAACCTGGTATATTCAGGCTCCCAAAACTGTAGCCAGCTGTTCCAGCAATCACATGCGCTCCCTTGCCTGTTGCTTGAACATCTCGGATTCTACCACCAGTGCCTGTAGTTGCTCCAGCAAATGGTGCAACACCTGTAAGGAAAAGTTATACTTTTGCTGTGAAGAAGGGAAGTGACAACATAACCTGTTCAAGCATCACACATCTGTATGATGAAATAACTGCCTGTTTGAAAGAAGATGCAGCAAAATCTGGTATTTTTGTCTGTGCAGTAGTCATGAATGACTGCACAAGGCAGATGAAACTCTTCAAGGGACATAACTAGTCTAGTCATTGCAATAGTTATTGCCTGTGTTTGAAAAAAAAAAGTCATTACTTCCTCAATCAGCTGAAGCATGTCCTGTTGCAGAATCTTGCTCCCAAAATAAAATTCCGGAAAACTTCTCGATCACTTGCAAGATGTCCTGCATTTGATTCACCCATGTGGAGATAATCCGTCACATCCTGCACTCATCTTTTCTTTGACCTTCCTCTTCCTTTCTTCCAAGGCATATACCCCTCCATTATTGTTCTCTCTAAACTTTCATGATATTTCAAGTGACCAAAATATTTATATTTTCTGTGTTTTATCATCTTTAATAACCAACCTTCTTCAATATTCAGTTTTTGAAATATGGATGCATTTGTTCTTTTCTTTACCCTGATATTCTTGGAATCCGTATTTACCATTTGTATTCAAAGGCATGTATGTGCTGTTCAGTAAGTGTCCACAGGCGTGTGTTGCAATGGGAAAGATGCATGCTCTTAGAAATCTAAATTTTGTAGCTCTGTCTGTCCCACTCCATAATTTATTCAGTTGATTAAGTCTTTGAAGAGCAATTGATAGTCGTCATTTAATTTCCTTCACTGTGTCACCATTGTTGGTAATCAATCACCCAAGATATTCAAAATTTTCTACAACCAACAATCTTTCCTCATTAATATATATTTCTTTTTCCATAGTCGTTTTATCTGTATGGGTCACTCTTCTTCAGTGTTATCTGATTTGCCAGGTCTGAGGGTCACTCCACCCGATCTCTTTCTTATTATGTTTCACGCCACCCGATCTCTTTCTTATTATGTTTCCTTTTATGGCTGTTACGGCTTCTTGGCAAGTTTTGCTAAAGGTATTTGCCATTTATTTTCCTCTGACAGTGACTGTATTAGTCAGTGGCCACAGCCGTTGTCTCTATTGATGAGATCATCTGCCTATCGCTGCATAACCAACAACAATCTGTCGGCTGCTCATTACTTCCTGCATGCATTAATTTAGTACGAACATCAACCCATTAAAATAATATGCTGCTTCATATATTTTTTTTTCTCAAGAATGCAGTCAATAATTTACTTTAACTTTTTTTTATTAGCTTGTGCGAGACATTCATTTTTGTATTTTTATTATTTATCCTCTCCATGTGAGCAGGTGACCTAGTCTGATCCTGAAGCTCAGTTTATTTCTTGCATGTTCCACCTTTCAATGTTTACACATACTACTGTTTTGGCGTCTCAACAAAATTCTTCTCTCAACGAGATTCTAAGAAATTAATTTTTTCCCTAAAATTATCGTCTCAGAAACGGAGTGCGGACTATACACGTGTGAATACGGCATTCTCAGCACACTGTAGGTTGTTTACTTTCTGCTCACCAACAGTGTACGGACCTCACTGTTGTTTCCCTGTACAAACTAAACATATCAGGCGATAGTGCATTTTCCTGTCTAACCCCTCGTCTATAATATTTTGAAAAGTTCCCACAAATTGAGATACAAAAAAAAAATATATTCAGTTTGTAATTACTGTAAACATACTATACCTGTAGGAAAATTATGAGTTTCTGCTGTAAAAATAATATGTCTTGTTTGGTCTTTCTTCACATTCAAAATAGATGGTTCAACTGCACTGTCAGCAACCAAACACTCGACCGGAAACCCTTTGATGGCACTAGGAACAGCAAGATTAGCAACAATGTAGAATAAGCAAATACCCAATTAAGCCAAATGCATTATCAACAACAGTACAAGATGGATTAATTGTTGATGGACAGATTGTTGACGGATTGTGGATGAACTGATTGACAGCACTGCTATAATGTGCTTCATTTTGTGTGAATAAAGTATGAATGGAATCAAGATTTAATCAAGCAAGACCCACGCATCCCCCCCCCCCCCCCCCCCCCCCCCCCCCCAGGTAAAGGAAAAAAAGTCAATTATCTTGGAAAATGTGTGCATAAGAACAAGAAATGCCAGAAAACATCAAAAACAAGTGCAAGGCGTGTGTGAGTGTGAATACATATACACAAAAATAAATATGAAATCAATGAGTTAACGCTCCTCTGTCAGACAGTGTATGCCATGACAAAAGAGTTAACTAAAGCTAGAGTTAACAAACTGAAACATCTCACCTGCTATTGTCATTGAACTTGATGACATTGTTATCGTTGCTTGTTAACTGTGTGTCCATAATCATGGAAAACAGAGAACGAGGTTGCTCCACACCATCCACAACTAGCCGGCCTTTGAAAAACCAGTGCCGGCTGTGTTCGCTGTATTGACATAAAACAGTAATCACTGAGAGATTTGTAATACTATCATCGATAGAAGAATATTTTTTTTAAAGATCCAAAAAGCATGAGTTCTAAACCCTTTGGCTCAGTACTATGGATATCACAACCCTTTGGCCTTACTTCCTTGATAGATACCATAAATCTGGGATATGTGGCTTTTCTGCCTACCCCAAACGTGAACTTGGACCACAAAGAGTTTGTCACCCGGTTGCTGCGAAGCTGAATTAACCAACTTAAAATTAGCTAGAGCCAGGCCAATATTAGAATTAAATATCATACTCACATACACAGACATTGTGGCAACAGAACTCAGAATATACTCTAAATGTGTACAAGAATATTATAAAACATATATATATGTTTAACTGTGAAACGATTAATATACCTGTTAGACTGTGCGAGATCAAAGCACTCAACACTGGTGGGATTTCTCTGCACTTTCTCTTGAAACAGCCGTGTGTAATAATCAAGGTCATAGTCATCAAATGCCAAACCTGACAGGAGCAAAGAAGGCAAATTACTGTTAAGCAAATGGAAAACTAGTATCTAAACTAGGCATGTCAAACTGGCGGACCTCAGCCTGTTGCAAGTGCATCTGCGGCCCGTTGCAAGTACATATGCGGTCTGTTGCAAGCACATCCACGGTCTGTTGCTAGTACATCTGCGGCCCACACAAAGGAAATGTTCTGCAATAATTTTTATCAAATGACTTTAATTAATTGTTGTGTGTGGCCCACATGGGGACACAAATATAACCCCTATGGTCCTGAATGTACCCTCAATTTGACACACCTAACCTAAAATATATGCAGAAATAGCCACCATTTGACTATGTTTAATGTTTTCTGAGAGAAAAAACAGTATAATTTCTGGGGACATTATTAAATGATGCTTTATTATGCTCCAATTAACATCTTATTCCCTATACAATTTCATATTTTGGCCTGTTTGAGGATTAGGTAATATTTCAACATTTTCAGGTCCCATTTCAATTAGAAAACCTTTGACATGGTAATGAGCTCTAATTTCTACAAAGCAACTTGTATCAGATACTACTGTCCAAAGATATTTGTATTAATTTACCAGTTTATGAATATTCCCATTAAGCTTTTTATTATTTATCCACATTTATATTTATTTAAATTACTGATGTTGCACTATAGTTTTGTCTATACGTTTTTATATAATAAGATTTTGTAAAGTTTTTAATTTCTTACAATTTCATTCTAAACCTACTTACTCACTGAGGAGGGAAAACACATTCATTAAAAGCTGCAAAATATGTTCACTGAAATCAATTATGTATCTTAAATTGTTGACAATTCCTGTGTCTTTTAAACTGTTAACTATGTAAGAGAAATAGATCTGGACAAATTATTCATCTCCGCTGCACACTTCCACTGATTGGTTTGATGTATTTCATCTATCAATTGTTATGCCAGCATGTTATTTCCAATTTATACTCTTTGGGAGTCGAATGTCTTTTCACATTAATTTACAGATCTCCAAGCAATTGTTGATATGTCAAAATCTATTGAAAGTATAGACAAAGAAACAAAAATGTTAACTTTTTTTTGTGTATAACCATATGCCATTCAGACAAATATGCTCTAGCATAACACTTTCCTTACCACATAATTCACTACATATTCAATGATTAATATATATGTGGTATATGTTATCTTATATTGTACAATTCTTGTATTACAGGAAGACACAATTTGTACTGTAATGTACATACTGACTATGGGATTAAAAGTAAAAAACATCTGCCTGGCTCAAACAGTTATCTGGGCCATTATGCCAAGTTATGATCACTAGTCGTTAATTATCTGAAATGGAAGCCATTTTACTTCATTCAATTGTATATTTTGGCTTTAAAAAAAAATTATGTCTTATTTTGGTGTTATAATAGGATATTCTTCTTCTTCTTGCATTCGATTTTGTATGCTCAGATCAGACCATCAGGTGGATTGCCTCTATGAACTCGCATGTCAGCAGCAGGTCCTTAATGGAGGCCAGAATTTGCCTCCAGTTCATTGATTGGTGTGCTTCTCATACCTCCAGTGATGATTCTGAGACCAGTGTTCTGTATTTTGTCCAGTTAGTGTAGGTTTGTTTTGGCTGCAGTGAAGTATGCTCCCATGGGCATGCCATACTCCAGTTTTGGTCCTACGTATCCTGTGTATACATGTCATACAGTGTTGGTATCTGCACCCCAGCATGTTCCAATAAATTTCTTCATAAGTCTGAACCGCTGGGTAGCTTTCCTTCGGGGGCCCCAGGTTAGCCTTTTGTTGAATTTTACTCCCAAATATGTGGGCTATCCTATTTTGGAAGGGTGTTGCTTTCTATGTACAGATCAACTTGTTCTGGCTACGTGCAAAGACAGAAGAGAGTTGAGACGGTTTTGGTATGGTTTATTGTGACTCCCCAAGAGTCTGCAGATTTCTTGACTGTATTTATAGCTTCCTGCCTTCTTGTTTTAGTTGTTCCTAGATGTTCAGCTTGGGTCCATATGGCCAGGTCATCTGCATGTTGGGCCTTGTGAATGTGAGTCGTGAACTGTTTTCGGAGGTCACTGATGAAAAGAATAAACAGGGTAGGAGATATAACACCTCCCTGGGGGACACCTTCTTGTAACCTGACCAGCTTGCTCATGTGTTCTTCCAGTTTGACTTTCACGCAGTGTCTGTAAAGAAAGTCTCTAATCCAGGCCATCGCCTTCTCTAGATTACGCCATCTAACTATATCACGTGACTTTTTGGATGGATTCCCTCGAAAACTGGTTAGTTTAAGCCCTTTCCATGTGTTGCATTGTGTGACATTTTAATGTGCTTACAAAGTTCTGTGTTATGAATGAATTTGTATTACAAATCTACAAGTGGATATTGTGAAGTGGATATACAAGATTTTCAAACTTTGCTGTTAGATTACAGCAATTTGAATTTAAATTCACGGGAGACAGCCGTGTTGTGATGTGTGTGTCACTGTTTCTAGTCAGTAGTTCGGATTTTTGGGAACTGACTGTTTATTCTTTTTCTACTTTGAATGTGGAAAACTTACTTTTAAGGAAAATACAAACAGGTAATTTAGAAGCCAGATCTGGAGAATATCGACAGTTGTCAGGTGCAAACTATTTTGTGTTGGAAGAAAACTATTGCTTTCATATTGATTTTGCATAAATGGTGCAACTACACTGTGGATAAATTGTGTCAAGATATTTCGAAGCTCTGTGTAAGTGGATAAAAACAATATTTACTAACTAACCTCTCACAGAAAGTCACTCTTTGCCTCTTTACTATTTGTTGACTAACAGTATAATTTTATGTTGCTTCGCGAACACTGGCAGAAACTTATGGTTATTCGTCTACGTCTTATGCCCATTTGCAGTTGTACAGTCTGTGTTCATTTTTGTGAATTTTCTGCTTCGCGAACACTGGCAGAAACTTGTGGTTATTCATCTATGGCTTATGCATTTTTGCAATTGTACGGCCTGTGTTCATTTGTGTGAATTTTCTGCTTCGTGAACACTGGCAGAAACTTATGGTTATTCATCTATGTCTTATACAAATTTGCAGTTGTACGGTCTGTGTTCATTTTCTGCTTCGCGAACACTGGCAGAAACTTATGGTTGTTCATCTAATTCTGGACTTTAGTCCTGTGTTTGTTTCACAGCAGTATTTTTATGTGCCAAATTTGATAAAGTACAAATGTCAACACCCCCCTCCCCTGCCCGGCTCCTCTGATGCAACAATACCCTCTTAGAATCAAAGAGTTAGCACTGATATTTCTTTACTTTTGCTGGAAAAGCTTTCAGTTTATTTCTACACATTATTGATGTTTATGTTCATGTTGCCTGCAGCAAAAGCATTTTTGTTTGTCTGTAAGAGCCTTTATTGTTATATTTAAATAGCACACATATTTACATTAAAAATGACTTATAGTTCTATAAAATATGTCAAAAATTAATTAAACTGTAGTTTAATTTGTGTATACATCTCCTCGATAAAAACTGTTAACACAGAGGGAGTCCATTCTTGCACAAGAATGGGAATCCCCGTTGACCCATAAATAGAGAAGGCCGTGTCCAGGCAATCAAATGCCCTTTTATGCCACTAATGGGATGTAACTCTTGCTGCAAAACCAGCTTTGGACTCTTCACATGCAACTAACCCATGCTTATGTTTCTTATTTGCATTTTGGTTGATCATTACCTCTTTTCCTAACGTCAAACAGATGTATCATACGTATAAAGCTCCCCCCCTTTTTTTTTACTTCTAATGCCTCAAAATGCACAACACAAATAAAAATACCTAATGTTTTGTTAGCATGCTCTAGGGCCTGCCTTCCTTGCCCTAAAATGTCCACTTCAAACACAGGCTCAGGATTGATTGGTAAGTCGAATGTTGTTAGTGGCTCTGGATAGCAGCACTGTGTCATCTTATCATGGAGGCAGTTAATCACCTGAAATCAACACGGTGAACACATGCACAAACAATCAGCACGCAGTTTATTTAAATACATACAGCAGAAGGTTACAAACACAGGGATAGGCATGCACACCTAGTAGCAAAGAAAGCACAGAGCTCTTTTGTAAACAGAAAGTATTATTTTAAGATCATTTTGCCTACATATTTTGAGGAACTTGCTCCCACTGCCATAGGTTCTTAATCTGTTGGTCTCATAATTGTAAAAGATTTATTTATATGCTTTAGGAGAACGCAGCGGTTCTCATATGCTGGGCAGTTCATATGTACAGATGTTTTTTAACCATGTATTGAGGTGGGTACACAGCTGCCAGAGATGTGTTTGCCAAAGCACTGTGTTTTCTACCCTCTGACACTTAGAGCACAGGTTCCCATGGACCATGATCCCATTTGGTGTCACAAAGAGTTTTTTGTGTGGTTGCCAAGCGGTGATGACCTATGAGCTGAGTGCCTAGTCCTGTTTCTTGGGGGCAGCAATGGTTTTTCTTCGGTATCAGCCAATACTGCAAAATATAATAAAGCCTATGTTGACACAAACTGAGTCAATCTAGGTCACACTGCCATGTTTGAGAAACTATACAGGGTGGCAAAGGAATCTGAACATAAAATAAGAGAATACCGACACACAGAATCTCTTAAATACAAACTCCAGCATTCCTTCCCTAATTTGTCAGAAGAAGAAGCTGTGCTGGTACAAAATTTAGCCTTCCCTTGATGTCACCAGCATTTCAGATAAAGTACAAGATGAAACTGATTCGTGCATGATTCTTCGGCGCGCAGTCGTTTTGATGCAAAGCTGCTGATTCATTTCTGATGTGCTAATAAAGGTTAGATCAATATGCCACAATGTATATGTTCTGGGTTTTACTGCTGTTTGTTTCTATATCACATTTTAAAAACTTTAAACACTTCTTTAATTGATATCTAAATCAAGAAACGTTGACAATTACACGAGGTGGCATTAACGAAACCTGTACATTTTTAAGCTCATTAAAGAGTTAAAAATTCAGTCATCTTATTAAATATGTTTTGAGTTAACATTGTTTGTATTAATATAACATTGAAAAATTTATTTTTGATGTGTTTTCATTTACTGGATTAAAAAGCTTATTTTCAATGTATAAGGTCATGGGTCACCTTGCCTCTATAAAATAGGGTTGAAACTAAGAACACTTTGGGAATCGCTGTCTCAGAAGAAGTCTTTGAAATAGAGAGACCTTCTATACAATAATCTCTGCCTAGGACATAATTAGAACCTACCATATGAAGATAATGATCAAGGGTAAACAAATACAGGGATCCCGACCCCCCCCCCCCCCCCCAGTGTCTGGAAATGCTTATCTAAGTGCTGAGTTTTAACATTTATCTTAGTCAGATCCCAATTATCTGAGCCAGTACTTGCACACAAAATATATTCTGGCTTGAGAATAAAATGGGCTGGCTCCAGAATTATATTTATCTTGTTTGCCCCCTGATTCTGACGAGTTAAAAACTGAATTTGCCTTTTAAGTCAGATTTAAATGTGAAGGTAAAACCATATCATTTATTGCCTAATGGACAATACTTCCATGTATTCTAGATCACTGTAGCATGCGGCTGATGCTAATTTCAGAAAAATATAAACCTGCCCCCGCCAGAAGTCTCAACAACAACATACAAAATAAAAATAGCACTATAACAGAGTGCATGGCTCTTTTTATTCTAGAAAACAAAGTGCTGGTCCTCTTCACAAGCCCAGGGGGTAGTAAAGAGAGTAATAAAATTGGCGCATCACGCGTTCATTGCGCTTCTAGGTAGGAACCTATGAACGTATGATGCGTTCCTTGGGACTCAAAGAGCTTAAAAAAAAACTGTCGGTACAAACCACTAGAACTAACAAAATATCCATGCTAGTATGCATAGTTATGAAAATTAAAACCACTCACAGCCACTTTATTTATGGATGAAAGCTTAACGCCATCTTTAAAGGTGACAAGGTAACGGGTTGAAACCTCAATCCGCTTGATAAAGGTATATCCAACTGAATTACAAATAGATACACTGTTGGTTGACTGTGCTGTTGAAAAATTTAACCTGTAAAACAAAAATAAAATTTTTCTTTTTTAAAAACATTATAATCTATTTGTGACATCTAAAATCAAGAAAGAGTGACTATCTTTATGATAGCCTATAACTGTGTAGACTTCACAAATCTTATGGAAGACTTCACATATTCTATGGAAGACTTCACACATCCTATTGTAGACTTCACACATCCTATGGTAGACTTCACACATCCTATGGTAGACTTCACACATCCTATGGTAGACTTCACACAACATATGGCAGACTGAGCTAAACAGAGATTCTGAGAGAGATTAGCAGAGATTGTGAGGGAGTGAGAGAGACAAACAAATAGACACAGAGATAAAAGGCACAGATGGATACAGACAAGGAGGTAGGGGGAGAGAGAGAAACAAATGGAGACAGTGAGAGAGAGAAATAGAGATACAGAGAATGAGAGGCAAACATATGAGAGAGAGAGAGGAAAGAGAGAAAATGCGGCAAACAAATAGAGAAAAACAAATAGAAGGATGGAGAGAAGGAAGCAAACAATACAGATACACAGAAGGGGGAGAGACAGATAGAATTTAGAGAGATGGGAGAAGAATGGAGAAGAAGTGACAGTGTTCAAGATGGGGATGGGCAGAAAAAGAGACAGAGAAAACAGCAAATATGAGTTTGTCCACAGTGCTAAGTCATTTCTAAATTTAAAAAAATATACAAATTTTAAGGCCTTTAAAACTATATCACTATGCAATCCTAGTTCAGATAAGTAGCAATTGTCTGAGGACAAGAGACCGAAGTCTACATAAGTCAAAACAAGTATGATTCAAAATGTTCACACTGCACCGTTGAAGACTTACTCTTATTGCACATCATAAGCAGAAATATGTGGCCTGACTTCCTCTGCACATGTCACTACAAGGCTAATGGTCATAACTATGCTTAATGACGGTTCTAAAAGTAGAAGGACTGGTATAATAAGTAAAATATCAAAACTGGAAAATTCAGCAAACCATTGCACCCCAGTAGCCCAGAAAAAAACCAACAGCACCAATAATTTTTAATTTGGAAAGGTTTTCCTCAATCAAGATTTCATAATAAAAAATAAAATAAAAATTAGTTTTTCACAAGACAACAATTACTTATGCTATGTTTTTAGTAACTATAGCCATTGGTGGACCTGTTAAACATTCACGAATGTGCAAACAGAATCAATGCTCTTAGCAAGGATTCTTGTTTAAAAAAAATTACTGCCGAGACAGTTAAGTTGAGGCCCATACCAGAAGTGCTGATTTTGGTGTTTCTCTGGAAAAAAGGGTTAAATCACTTTGGGATAGCCTACAGATGCTCTGTCTCCTGCGGAAAATGTGTAGATGCTCAAGCCACATTATCTCATTTTTCTGGTGTGTCTCACATTTGTATTCCCCTCCTTCCCCCCTTACACTATAAGCAACAAATGTGATGTATTCATTGGATGACTCAGGCTGAAAGGCTATTAAGGTTAAAAGAACACTAGTGAATACCTTGGACCAATTTCAAAGAAAAGAGACTGCGGTTTGAGGCTAAGCGTAGGCTCTACAGTCAGCTTTTCTTCTTCGAATGGAACCGACAAAATCCACTTTATAATGGACAGGTCTGCTTCAGGTGCACCTGAAAGTAATAAATGTTTTTCAAATTTAGAGAAGGTAAATGAAAGTATGACAAGATAAAAGTAATAAATGGTCTTTTAAAGTTAGAGAAAGTAAGTGTAAGTATGACAACCTGAAAGTAATAAATAGTCTTTAAAGTTAGAGAAAGTAAGTGTGAGAATGACAACCTGAAAGTAATAAATGTTTTCACCAAATTTAGAAAGGATAGATGTAAGTACGACAACCTGAAAGTAATAAATGGTCAATTAAAGTTAGAGAAAGTAAGTGTATGTATGTATGACAACCTGAAAGTAACAAATGGTCTTTAAAAGTTAGAGAAAGTAAGTGTGAGTATGACAACCTGAAAGTAATAAATGTTTTCACCAAATTTAGAAAGGATAGATGTAAGTACGACAACCTGAAAGTAATAAATGGTCAATTAAAGTTAGAGAAAGTAAGTGTATGTATGACAACCTGAAAGTAATAAATGTTTTCCCAAATTTAAAAAAGATAGATGTAAGTATGACAACCTGAAAGTAATAAATGGTCTTTTAAAGTTAGAGAAAGTAAATGTAAGTATGACAACCTGAAAGTAATAAACAGTTTTTCAAAGTAAGAGAAGGGGAATGCATGTATGACAATGTGTATTATTGTCACTGTTACTGGGTTGTAGTCCAGTGTTGTGGTAAAAAGTAAAGTAAAAGGTCCTTCTCCACACCTTTCATGCGTATTAAATATATAGGGCTAGACTTTGTTTTATAGACCAAATGGCACTTGGTGGGTGATGTGGTCAGCATCATGATGACCGCCTTTACTTCCCAGGACTGCATCTGGTACCCCCTCAAGGCTGGATCGCCCTAGGAGCCAAGGTCATTTTTGAAAAACAAGTCTGGCCCCCTTCTGGAACTGAACCCACGAGCTTCCGATCGGCAGGCGAGCGTCTAGCTGCTAGACCACCGCGGCTGCCCAGTGTTGTGGTGTATGACAAAAACCTACCACTGAAAGTTATTTGTGCATGCATGAACTGTGCTTTAACAAACAATGACCTTGGGACCGTATATACACGGGAACGCTGGGTCAAGACCCAAGACTAAATATATAACAGTAAATTATGTACAAATCTGCTCTTTTGATTGTAGTCAATGTCAAGATAAAAAGCTAGTGAATATAAATAGTATATCTACCATTCAAATTAAAACATACTACTTACCATTTTCAACACCAATATAGTAGCAGATTTCAGTAGTCAATGTGGCAAATGTATCTCCAACTACTGCTTGTATCTTGCCAACAGCAGATTCCAGGTGACTCGCTGTAAGACCTGGGGTCCTGAAGAATTTTATTACTCTCGACATCTATGAAATATTTAAAAAAAAAAAGACATTGCCAGACACCAGTGCAGTGATATTGCAACATGTATTTGTGAACAGTTTTCATGTTATCACAATCAACAACAGTGGCCACATTGGGCATTCCCATGCACACATCTATGGTGATTTAAACAGATTATGAATATTACAGTCATTCCCAAGTCTTTGTTCGCACATTTTGGGCACAAAATAATTCCATTCACTGCTGGTGTCATTTTTTGGAAAGTGCATTTTGTTATTTCATGGATACTAATGTTCCAACCACAAGTACAGGCCTCTAAATGCATTTTTCCATGGCTAAAGCTCTGAAACTGTTTCAGTCAGATGTTTTTAATTTTGATAATGACAATGAAAATATAGATTTTTCAGAAAGTGATTTTACACCAGCGGCAGCTGAACGGTCAGCTATTAGGTAATCTAGCAGTTATGATGAGTCGGACACAAAGAACGTCCCAAACGATGTGACAGTCACCCACATTTTTATCCAAAGGACTGCTTCGGACAGATTATGAATATTACAGACATTCCCAAGTCTTTGTTCGCACATTTTGGGCACAAAATAATTCCATTCAATGCTAGTGTCATTTTTGGAAAGTGCATTTTATTTCATGGATACTAATGTTCCAACCACAAGTTCTGCCTCTAAATGCATCTTTCTGTGGCTGAAGCTCTGACACAGAGAACGCCCCAAAGAATGTGAGTTATCCACATTTTTATCCAAAGGACTGTTTCAGACAGTAGCAAACAATGGCTAAGCTACACTGAAATCATTGCAGCTACAGTCTGTAAATAACTATATTCTCTACAAAGTAAATGTGGTGTGTGTAACTGTAAAGGTCAAATTTTGTCTGAAATTTTTTTCTAACGCTTTGAGGCCCAAACAACGGTGTGAGCGTTGTTTGGGAAGGTTCCGTTTTGCCCAAACAACAGTGTCATCGTCAATCGTGTGTCCCTTACATTTTGCTTCGCACGCAGCTTCGTACTAGCTTCTAATGTTTGGAGGTACGATTAAACTATTCAGGGAAAGTCACTCTTCCGAAATCCTTTTAGTTTCATTTCCTGGACTAAACCACACATGGATAATTTGAGAGAAAAAAACAGCGAAATATTTTAGCAGTTTATTTTCTAAGTTAGTTTTTGAGTGCCATGAATACCAATGTTTCAACTACGAGTACAGGTCGCAGAATGCGTCTTTCTGCGGCTGAAGCTCTGAAATTGTTTTAGTCAGATGTTCTTAATTGTGATAATGATAATACAAATTTCGATTTTTTGGAAAGTGATTCGGACGGTGAATTTTCACCAGTGAAGCTGAGCGATCAGCTATTCGGAATCAAGCGATTCTGATGAGTTTATTACATAGACAATGTCCCATACTACCGTATTTATGGTGTAAGAGAAGGAAAGTGCTCTAAACAAAGAGACAGCACTATACCATGGCTAAGCTACACTAAAATCATCGCAGCTACTGTCTGTAAATAACTGTACAAAGTAAATAGTAAATAGTGTGTGCGTAATGTCATATTTTTCTGCCATTTTTTCTCTGAAATTTTGCTCAGCACTCTGTGAGAACTAAGAGCTCCTGAGTGCTAAACTAACCTAGAAAGTTATTATAACTTTGGAATATGTTAGGAAATTTAACAAACTTTGAAGTTTTGTTCTCAAATTTTGATATTTACTACTCTTGTGGCTATAAAACCATGGTTAAGTGAAAAATTATTTTGTGAAATGTTGTCCTTGTGAAATGAACACCTGCTGAATTCTTCTTTCCCACTAACTATAACAAAATCAAACAAACAGTTATCATCAGATTCAAAATGTACATTCATTTCTCTTTTAAAAATATATACTTTAATAGGGATTAGAAGTATATTACAATATCTATAGCCTTTCTTGTGCACCCACCCCTCTGCCATTTTTGTAAAGGGAAATTAATTTGGGCCAAGTCTGTCAAAATTCATGGGCCTGAAAGAGTTAAGCACTCTGTGAGAATTTAGAGCCTCTGAGTGCTTAACTAACCTAGAAACTTATCATTTATCATAACTCTGGAATTCTCAAATATGGATATTCACTGCTCTTTTGGTTGCAAAACCATGGTGAGTAAAGAATTTTTTTTTGTAAAACTTCAAAATGTAAATTCATTCCTTTTTAAAAAATATGTAATTTTGTAGAGATCAGAAATATATTTCATTATCTATTGATTTTATTTAACACCACCATCTCTGCCATTTCGGTTTGGCAAAGGTACAGGCAAATTACTGTGAGCAAAGTCTGTCAAAATTCATGGGCCTGAAAGAGTTACAACAGAAAAAAAGGATCAGTTTTTGGTCATGCTATGACTATGAGAAGAAGGAAACTGGAACATGCTGTGACCACAGGAAAGATCTGTGGAAACAAGGCAAAGGAAGACAATATGAGAGGATTCTTGACAACCTATTCATTTTTTGGGGGAAAAAAGGGGGGGGGGAAGGGAGTGTCATTGCATGTAGTGGTCTCACTGATGACATGTAGTGGTGTCACTGATGACATGTAGTGGTGTCACTGAGGGAATGTAGTGGTGTCACTGATGACATGTAGTGGTGTCCCTGATGACATGTAGTGGTGTCCCTGATGATATGTAGTGGTGTCCCTGATGATATGTAGTGGTGTCACTGAGGGAATGTAGCGGTGTCACCGATGACATGTAGTGGTGTCACTGATGACATGTAGTGGTGTCACTGATGGCATGTAGTGGTGCCACTGAGGGAATGTAGTGGTGTCACTGAGGGAATGTAGTGGTGTCACTGATGGTATGTAGTGGTGTCACTGAGGGAATGTAGTGGTGTCACTGAGGGAATGTAGTGGTGTCACTGATGGAATGTAGTGGTGTCACTGAGGGAATGTAGTGGTGTCACTGAGGGAATGTAGTGGTGTCACTGATGACATGTAGTGGTGTCACTGATGGCATGTTGTGGTGTCACTGATGGCATGTAGTGGTGTTCCTGATGATATGTAGTGGTGTCACTGAGGGAATGTAGGTGTCACTGAGGGAATGTAGTGGTGTCACTGATGACATGTAGTGGTGTCACTGATGGCATGTAGTGGTGTCACTGATGGCATGTAGTGGTGTCACTGATGGCATGTAGTGGTGTCACTGATGGCATGTAGTGGTGTCACTGATGGCATGTAGTGGTGTCACTGATGGCATGTAGTGGTGTCACCGATGGCATGTAGTGGTGTCATCGATGGAATGTAGTGTTGTCACTGATGGAATGTAGTGGTGTCACTGATGGCATGTTGTGGTGTCACTGATGGCATGTTGTGGTGTCATTGATGACATGTAGTGGTGTCACTGATGGAATGTAGTGGTGTCACTGATGGTATGTAGTGGTGTCACTGATGGCATGTAGTGGTGTCACTGATGGAATGTAGTGGTGTCACTGATGGCATGTTGTGGTGTCACTGATGGAATGTAGTGGTGTCACTGATGGCATGTAGTCCTGTCACTGATGGCATGTAGTGGTGTCACTGATGGAATGTAGTGGTGTCACTGATGGAATGATTGCATGTAGTGGTGTCTCTGATGGAATGTAGTGGTGTCACCGATGGAATGTAGTGGTGTAATTGATGGAATGTAGTGGTGTCACCGATGGCATGTAGTGGTGTCACTGATGGCATGTAGTGGTGTCACTGATGGCATGTAGGGGTGTCACTGATGGTATGTAGTGTCACTGATGGCATGACAAATCATCATCATCATCAGGTGCATAGCCGACTGGCGAGGGCGATCATGTCATGCCCATGAATTTTCAGGCACCTGCCCAGTCCTAAAAAAAAAATGTCATGCATGGTATTATTATTCTGTTAGAACTTGTTTCCCAGTTCCTAAACATATATATATATAATAATACCATGCATGACATTTTTATTTTAGGACTGGGTAGATGCCTGAGAATTCATGGGCATGACATGATCGCCCTCGCCAGTCGGCTATCATATGCACCTGATGATGATGATGATTTGTCTCAAGATGAATGTCTGATCAATTATCAATCTGTTCTGTTTGGCAATCCTGCCATTACAAAACTAATCGTTAAGCTGATACAAGAATCAACTGGAAACAAGACAAACAGTCTTGTCTTACCTTCTGCAGATCGCTGTAACACAGAACACACCCACGTTGCTGGTGATTCTATGTGCACTGTGTTGATTTGAACCGTATAGATAGTCCTACTTTTTAGCAAATCAACGTTCGCTTTCTATGATACGAAACAAAATATTGAGAACATCAGCTGAGGTGCATATTTTGCTTATATAAACAGAGAGTAGTTCTGCAAGATTAGATAAATTGACACGATCTGAATTAACACCCCCCCCCCTCCCCTCCCAGCTGTGTCAAAAAGATTGTGACGCTTATTAAACGTGGAAGGTTAAAGTGATAGTAAAGTAGACCGAAGCAGGCGCAGCGCAATAAGTTAAACAGTGTAGAGGGTTGGGGGAAAAGGTGGGGGGGGGGGGGGGGGAATCAACCCACACCTTACAAATATTCTAGTTACAAAAGCAGGTTGAAAACAAAAGGGGGGGGGGGGTGTTTCGAGATGATAGAGCATGTAAAAGTCTGCTTCTAAACTACTCGGTCTTTTCCCTTCAAGGTGATATCGAAGGGTCTGTTTTCTAACCACTTTGTCTTTTTCGACCATTCAAGACAGAGTGTAAGTTTCACATGACAAGACATATTTGACCGAGTTTTCCCCAGTGACTATCATGTGTGTGCGTTAACTGCAACACATGTGCGTGCCGTACCTAGAGCATCCAACTGTTCAAAGTCTGGTCTCTTTACCTTCTTTTCCCCTGAGTCTCTTGTTGCAGCACTGATACCAATAGTGAATAACACGTTTAAGTCTTTTTTTCTGTACACTAACTCTAATACTGTTTTTTTTTCTGTACACTAACTCTAATACTGTTTTTTCTTCTTCTGTAAGCTCGTTTGTGACCGTGACCTGGTGTGT